CCTCTAAAGCCAGAGATTCTTTAGATTAGAAACCATCATTAAACAGACATCATGAATTAAAAAGATAACTTGAAAAAAACCCAACCTGTTGTGACATGATAACCCAACTCGCTACATGCTTTCACAGGAGTAGTTTCATCATCAAACATGTACGAGTGATCTTCTTGGTTTAATGTAACTTCAGTCATCGTGCAATCAGGCACATCCGCTGGAGTTAAGAGACCAATTCAATCATGCTTGTCACAGTGTTGTAAGAGTTAATTGATACAAAAACAAAAAACTTACAGAAATGAGACTGTGTTTGGTGATTGTAGTTCTCCACTTGCCAATTCCATGAGGTGCTACTGCAAAATTTTACACATCACAATCAAACCCATAGTAACAAACTTAGGAGACAACTAGTTACTAACACACAAATGATCCAACAACTCAAACTATGCAAGTCATGTAACACATTGCATAGTTTCAAGCTCATTCACAACTCAAGAACCAAACAAAGAGCAACATTTTGACAAAAGGGGGCTTAAGAAACTTGGGATCTTTAGCATTGACAAGCTAAAAACCAAATCCCAAATGATTGATGAAACATTAAATGAAACCAACATTTCTTTAACTCACAATTAAAAATCAAATCCAACATTTCATCCTCGCATTAAAAACCCAGAAATCAATCAAAACCCAAAACCCAGAAAATCACCACCAAATCTAAGCGAAAACATAACGATTACAGTGAAACCCAAACAAGAGAACACACGAATCACACTAACGAAGCACAAAAACCCACAAAAATCGAAGAATGTACTAATCAAATCATCACAAAAACACACAAATCCATAAAAATCAAAAATACCCAAATCGAGATTAAACAAGCAGCAAAAAAAATAAAAATCTACCGATCGTCGTCTCCGTAATCCATCGATCTTCTTCTTCGTCTTCCACTTGTCCGAATAACTAGCCGTTGCCCAGAAAATGAAAAACACAAAAAATCAACAATAAGAACAAAAAACATGCACGCTCCAAAGACCCAGAAGCATAAATATATAAAGAAGCAGTTTTTCACTGACCTTGTGTGCTCGAGATATGTGCTTATTAGTGCTTACTGCTTCAAAAAAAAAAAAAAAAACCCAGAAAAAAAAAAAGTTAAAAGCGGCGAGTTTCTCTCTCTAGGACACTGGTCAATATTTATAGACTCTCTGCATCTCTATTTATGAGAAGAGAGAGAGAATTGCAAGAGAAGCTTTTTCTTTTATTTTATTAATTTAGATTTTAGAGAAGAAGGAAGAAGAAAAAGAAAAAGACCATTGCGAAGCACGCTTTCTGGTTTCTAGTTTCAATGTCGTCGTGGTTCCTCTTTTCTCGCGATTTTCTTTACTTAATTGTTGCAATTATTATTACTAATCATCACTTTATGTTTATTTTTGGATATAACAATATTCACTTTAAGATTTCATTTCAGTACTAGTATCACTTAATTCGTGTTATATTTGACTCTGTTTACTGTATTATCGTAATCGTTGAATACTTTAAAGCAATAGAAATCAGATTATTTCAGAGTCAGTGGTTAGTCACTTTCCAATGCATATATAAATGAGTTTTTGTTATAATTCATTTCCAACCTAATGTTATGTGTATTTCAAAATTTATGAGAATTTTCTTTTTTGGCTAAATTAGTAAATCCCATATTCCCATCAAATTTAGTACTATTGTTTGGAGACTAATTTATTCAAAGTTTGTTGATTTTATTGTAACTGATAATGGAATAAATTGAAAAGATAAATTTTGCAAATTTTTTTTGTTCTTTATTAAGTACTGACAAAATTAGTTTATTTGTATATATGATTCATTTGTTAACAAAAACATAAACGTACAATAAATAAAGATATACGTTTCGGTGAACGATTATTGAAAACGTTAAAATATCATAATGTGTTAAATAGAAAAAACAAAATACAACGCTTATTTTCAAATAAAAGATAATTGAAAACTTTAAAATTTTATAATGTTCTGAATAGAAAAAAAAAATATAACGCTTATTTTTTAAATAAAAGTAAAAGTCAATTGACTCACCTTTTGTGCTAATTTGCGGATTTTTCAATGTAGAGATATTTTTTGATACAAAATAATAAATATTATTTTTAAAACCATATAACAATAATTTAGTAGCCTACATTGGATTTTTTGTGTTAAGTGGACACCAAACATAGTCTATTTAATAATTCTTCATTCTCCATTTATTATATAATTGGTAGAACATTCTTTTTTATATATGTAGATTTATTGTGTTATTTTCGGTTCAGTTCTATAAATATATTTGGATTGTATTTCCCATCATATAAAGTTATATAGCTAAAATTATAAATATCTGAAAATTTTAATAGTTAGAATAGCATCAAATGTATTATAAACTATTGGAGTAGATATTTTAAAAGATTTGATAGAATTTAGATTTAGAGTGAATAAGTGGATTTTTAGGATTTCTACATTATGTGACAAATCTCTTACGTACACAAATACCAAACTTATCATCGGTCCAATAAGTACAGTAGTCTAATAAAATTGTAATTGTGGCTCAAATATATCACTATATGTTTTGGTTACATATCGTCCCAAGAACTTGAGCAAATTTTTTAATATTATATGTATTTTAGATTAGGCGAGTAACTAAGAGTTACATTTGGTTTTCAAACCGACTCTAGGGATACATGAAATCAATTTTTTTAATACACTCTAGAGATTCGAAAGAGTAAGTCATTCATAAAAGTAAGAATTTTGGCAGAATTTTTAAGTTTTGACGTTTCCAAACCGATGAATATGCAGTATATTCATGATTACGAATTATAATTCATTTCCAACCTAATGTTATTTGTATTTGAAATTTTATGAGATTTTTTTTTTTGGCTGATATAGTAAAATCCATCAGATTTAAGGGGTTATTGGTTCATGGATTTATAAGGAATTAGAAATTCAAACAAAAATCATTTGTTATTCAATCATTGATTTTAAAATCTTAATTAAAATCATGTGTTATTGGTTCTATGATTTATAAATACTAGTTAAACTAGATAACAACCCGCACGATGTGCGGGATGAAGTGATTCAAGTAAAATTCTTCTGATTAAAATTATTATCCGGGATCCAAGCTCCATTTGTGTAAAACGAAACATGTTACAATTTTTTTTTTTTATTCAAATTTGGGACTATTTCATATAAGAATATGTTTTACCCGTGAAATATTTGAACTTTGAATAAAGCTTCAACGTGATAAAAAAGTTTTGACGAAATGTTACCATTTATGGCAATATGTTTTTCCGTATGTTTGAAAGATTTCGAGATTTTGTAGTATAAAAAGAAATTTTTTTTTTTTAATAAGTATAAGAAATCCAAAATTTAGCAAAGATGAGATTTGATAGTTTACAAGCTAAGATTTTGTAGTGTTCCAAATCTAAGATTCTTGGATTATGAATGAATTATTTACGAAATGGTTATAATGTGGCCAGATTTTGGTTTATATACAAATATGGTTATAATGTTTTTCTTCGAAAAGTTAGAACTCCTCCAAAAAATAGGATTTTAACTATTAGTAACATATATAGAAAGGAGATTATCTTATTTATTTAAGTAAAAAATTTATGAAAGATGTAAAGATTTTGTAGTTTTGAATTCGAGATTTTTGAACTAAATGTATATATTTTATCATTTAAATATAAACATAAATATAAATATAAATAAAAAGATTGTTTACCCATCCGCTAAAGAAAATTTATATAAATGTATATAAAGAAAAATATAGTAATATAAGATAAACAAAAAGTGTATATTTTTAATTATTAATGGGATATATGGATGTAATGACAAATTCTGTAAATAGTCTAATAAATCTTGGGTAATTATCTAAATAGAAGCCAAATCATTGTAAGAGCGACACATCAGCGTGACAATCTTGTTAATAACACATGATGGTAAGGTTTTTTTAAAAAAATGTTTCTCTATTAATATATAGGGGATTCCTATGTTATTTGTTTAGTAATTTGTTTTTGGATTTGAGAATCCAAATTATGTTTTAAATGGATTTGTATGGAATTGAAAGAGAAAAATAGAAGGATTCAAATTCATGGGTAAACACATGTTATCTCAAAATCCATATATCTTGATTTCATAATTAATAGAGATTTCCAAATTCTATATGGATTTACAAATTAATAAACCAATAACACCCACTTAGTATTATTTGTCAGACTAATTATAATCAAATTTTGTTGATTTTATTGTAATATATAATGGAATATATTGAAAAGATAAATTTAAATTTATTTTACTTTTGTAACTTTTTGTTCTTAAATTGGTAGTGACAAAATTAGTTTATTTGTGTATATGATTCATATGTTAAAAAAAAAAATAAACGCACAATAAATAAATACATACGTTTTGGTAAACGGTAATTGAAAACGTTAAAATTTCATAATGTTTAAATAGAGAAAAAAAAAACAAAATATAACGCTTATTTTTCCTTTTCAAAAAAAGAAAAAGTCAATAGACTCACGTTTTAATCTAATTTGCGGATTTTTCAATGTAGAAATCTTTTTTTATGTATAGATAATTTTAATATTATTTTCAAAACCATCAAACAATACTCTAGTAGCTTGTATTGGATTTTTTTTTTATGTTATGTGGACACCAAACATAGTCTATTTAATGATTCTTCATGCTCCATTTATTATATAGTTGGTAGAACATAACTCTTCTTTCTCTCTTTTTTTTTTTTTTTTTTCTTTTCAGTTCTCTATCTTTGGATTTCATTTCCATTATATAAAGTTATTCATCTGAAATTATAAATATCTGATATTATTAAAAGTATCAAATGTTTTATAATCTATTGGAATGGTTACATGTTCCATAGATTCAAGAAAGTGAGACATTCATACATTTAAGTGTAGTTGACGTTTCCAACCGGATGAATATGCTGTATAATGAGGGGATGCAAAACAACTAAGAGCTAAAGAATGGAAAACCTCTCTGAGGCCAGCTTCTGGAGCTTAAGAGGAAGAAGCAGTGATTCTTTCTTGGTTGTGGAAGTCTCTCTTGAAGCTGCGACATTTGGCTTCACAATTTGTGAAGTGTATTGTTGGAAATGGAAGAGATGCTTGGTTCTGGCATGATAATTGGACACCTTTTGGTCCACTAATCAAGTACTTTGGAGAACATGGTCCGAGGAGTTTAAGAGTTCCTATTACTGCTAGGGTGGCTGATGTGTGCAATGCAAACGGGTGGACAATTGCACATCCAAGGTCTGATCAGGGAGAGTCCCTTCAAATTTATTTATCATCTATTCAACTACCAACTTCAGTTTCAAATTCAGATCATTTTGAGTGGGTTATTGAACGCAAGTCTACAAATGGTTTCTCTTCTTCCAAAACTTGGGAGCAGCTGAGGCCAAGAGAAGATGAAAAAGCTTGGGCGCCTCTGATTTGGTTCAAAGGCCATATTCCAAAGCATGCTTTTCACTTATGGATCACAAATCTTGATCGGTTGCCAACAATGGCTAGGCTAGCTTCTTGGGGCCTTGATGTTTCAACTGTTTGCAGTTTATGTTCCGCTTCTATTGAGAACAGAGACCATTTGTTCCTTGAGTGCGCTTTCGCTAGGATTCTCTGGAAAAAGATTCTGGAAAGAATTGGTCACCCTCAAATCTTTTTCTCGGACTGGAATTCTATGTTGGTATGGGTAAAGGTAAACAACAGCTCCTCTCCCCTCACTCTTAGGCTGCTTATCATATCATCCACACTTTAGTCTACAATGTTTGGAGTCAAAGAAACAATCTACTTCATAATCAAATCACGGTTCCTCCGATGGTTGTTTTCAAGGACATTGACCGGCAGATAATCAACACGATTACAGCAAGGAGACACATGAAGAATTTCAAGAATCTTATGAGGTGTTGGCTTCACTAAGGGTCCTCTGTTTTTCTATTTCTGAGAATGCATCTTTATTGGTCTTTGTTTTTTACTCTCTTTTTTTGGCAAAGCTCAATTGTTTTAGGTCTTATATCATGTAACACCTAACTTTCATTATATATGATATTTACAAGTTTAGCAAAAAAAAAAAAAAAGAATGGAAAACAACTAAGAGCTAAAGGCTTCCTGAGTGGCACGTAATCAATTATAAGTTCATTAACCAATGATGCACATAAAACTAATTGTAGAAAGAAGTAAAAGCATCATAGATCATGGTAACGATCCTCTACATTGACTCAACAATGCTTCGATTTCATCTCCATTTTTCATATCAAGTTGCATCAGTATAAATCAAATATTAGATATCAACCAAACAAAAAACTAGGCCAATCTTGTCATAGGTAGGTGGAGAAGAAGATAAGCAAGCTGACGCAAGGTTTATATCAATCAAAAATTTGTAGTGCTTTTTCGGAGATTATTCTATATGACTATATCTATGTTTATGTAGTCATACATAATTCCACCCGTCCGCTCTGATCAGCTTCCTGAATCGTCATTCAAGAAGAAGCCAGCAACTTGCCGTTGATATCAGAACTCAAGGTAGAAATTTGGTCCATTGTTGTTACCTAAACGAATACAACAATTCTCAGCCTTGCTTGTGCCTCTAACAACCTTTAAATTTAGCATGCCTTAAAACGTAATGTGATGCACAAAGACTTGTTTATTTATCAGTATTTCAAAGAATTGCTTTGTCTCCTTCATAGGAAGACAACAATCAGTGCCGGCTTAACAGGGGACAAATAGTGCGACTCCCAGGGGCCCACAAACCAAGGGGGCCCACACAAATTTTTTTTTTCCTTTGTAAACAATAAAAAATATATATATATATGTGCAAGTATAACAGAAAAAAAAAAAATTATTAAAGGGGGCCCAAAAATATTTGCATTATTTGTAAGTATAAAGAAATGATATAATGTTTACTAAAGGGGGCCCATAAATCTATTATGCAAAATGATATCGTAGCTTTATGCTTTGTAAACAATGTTTTCTGTGTTTTATTCTTGTAAAGAAAATATATATATAATAATAGCCCAAAATTTTTTTTTTTTGCCCCAGGGCCTATCATTTGCTTGAGCCGGCGCTGAAAACAATAGACGTCTAGTTTCTTAAAAGCCAATGTATTTGGACGATTTGAGGCTAAATTTCATCTAAAATCAAACTTGAAAAGACAACAATACATGTCTAGTTTCTCTTCTCACACTCTACACAAATCACTAAATCAACAACACCAAATCTAGACTTGTCTCAAGTGAAAAAAAAAGAAGCAACTAAATATTTCTAAGTTCAACAACCAAAAGATCAACATAAAACTAGTATTAGAAGTAAAAATCTTCATAGATTATGGTAACAATACTAGTCCAATCCTCTACACAAGATTGCGTCGATTTCATCTCCATCTTGCATATTAAGCTGCATAAGTAAAATAGACACAAGAATCATGATCTTGTCTTCCCAGTTCAAAAATAACAACATTGAAATATAAAAAAAAAACTCACCAGGTGTGCGGTTACGAGGGAGATGAGACCATCGAAGAGGAAAACAACATTGTCAAAATTAAGATTTTTAAGCTCACAATAAAACGTCATTAGTCTCAACAACACCCTGTTACTTTTCATCTTGATGAACGTTTCATGATCATCCTGAAATTTTAATAGTTTCGTTTTTCAAATTATCAAGAAAGTTATGGTAATCTTGGAAAAAACAGAGCAAGTTCTAAAATTCTCTTACAAATCTTATTAGGAGTACGACTAATCTTATTAGACAACAGTGACGTGTTTTTTGTGTCCAGGGAAGCGAGTACAAGAGCTATGTTTACACGCACGAAGGTGTACTGTTAGAATCAATTCCCATTGGATAATTTTTTGAATTTCAATTCGTCTTCTTCACCTGAGTTTATCACATCACCGGAACTTCCAATTCCTCATCGTCTTCCTCATTCTTCTTCAATTTCTTTCATCCTTCTCCCGATATGGTTGATCCGGTTCCAGTAATTGGGTATAAAAACACAAATACGTATTTAACACCGATGAAAGAGGGTGTAGAGTTGTGCAGATAGATGCGAAAACAACGCACGAAAAACTTGTGAAGTTGGTGCTCGATGATAAAGTTAGAGGAAATGTTGCGTCTCTTAATGTTTCGCTGCAAATTTACATGTCACGGCTGAGTTATATGCTTAAGGGAAGACGAAAGGTTCGGTCAATTTACATGTCACGGCTGAGTTATATGTTCCAGGGAAGACGAAAGGTTCGGTAAAATTACATTACGGCTGAGTTATATGCTTAAGGAAAGACGAAAAGTTCGGTCAATTTACATGTCACAGCTGAGTTATATGTTCCAGAGAAGACGAAAGGTTCGGTAAAATTACATTACGGCTGAGTTATATGTTTAAGGGAAGACGAAAGGTTTGGTAAATTTAAATGTCACGGCTGAGTTATATTCTCCAGGGAAGACGATAGATGGGTGTAAATTATATGTTACGGGTGAGTTATATGCTTCAGAGAAGACGAAAGGTTCGGTAAATTACATGTCACGGCTGAGTTATCATTCACGGAAGACGAAAGGTTGTGTAAATTATATGTTACGGCTGAGTTACATCACGTTACGGCTGAGTTACATCACTTTACGGCTGATTTATAATACAGATCGGAAAGCAATATTTTTTTGGAGAAGACAATATGAAATTTATTGGTCAAATAACAACAATCAAATTAAGATTCGTAAAAATATGTTTGAGGGATACATAGGAGGAAGACTAAACCGTATGAATCAAAACATAGATAGAAGTAGAAATGTCTCCAAATAGATCGATTGAGAGGAAGATTAAACGAGAGACATGTAAAATCAAAGTAAAAGAGTAGCTATTCTTGATTTCAACTCAAACCTGTAACGAATCATGTAGAATTTCATAGATCTCTTTGTTTTGGGTTTTGATTTTTGATGACTTTTTTCGTGAGCGTGGTTGCGAGTAGATCTGACGAAGCTTTTGATTTGGGACCCTATGGCAAGCGTTATGGCTGTGAGGTCTAGGAAGATCCAGCCCAATCCTGCAATTTGAAGATCTCTGTCAATGTTGTACCCAAGTTAGTTGCAGATTATTAGATCTAAAAGCTTTTCTTGGATTTGGAGACAAAAAAAAAAGAGAAGAGGAGAAATGATCTAATAGCTTTTCTTTTTTCTTGGATTTGGAGACAAAAAAGAGAAGAGAAGAAATAACGTGAGTTTGAAGAGTGTGAGATTGGTGATGTGGATTGATGACATAGATAATCAAATTTTTATTTATTATTTTTAATTAAAAACGAATTAAAAATTATTAATTAAAAAAAAACTAATGAAAGGTGTTAATTGTAATTACACAAATGCTTAAAACATGAGTAATTTTTAGAAAATGTATGATATTCTAGTAATATTCGAACTTTTGGTTAATATCTGAGTAAATATTTATTTTGGTAATCGAGGGCTGGGATTGCAAATGAAGATCTAACGGTAATGACTCTTACTCCTTTAAAAAACAAAATTTATTTTGTTAAGTGTAAACATCATCTACTCATCTTGTTACTCCGATTAATTAAGCCCACGAGTTGTATGATCAAATGTGTGTTAGTAACATCATTATCTCAATATATGGGCTATTTATTTTATTTAAATCATAAATTGCAGCCCATTAAGGCCCAAGTTCATCCATTCGTTAAAACGACGAGGGTTTTGTCCTCCTGAGTCAGTATATCAAAACCCAAAAGCCGCGACCACCGTGAGTGGGAGAGAGACAGTTGAGCCACCATTGTGGTTGTTATCCCGTCGTGCTGTCACCGGAGCAGTCGTAGCCCATAGTCGAGGCCCTTAAGGGTAAGGAAACCCTAAACTTATTCTGTAACTTGCGCAGGAATTTTCTGGCTTGGTTATAGGATCTGTTGCTTGTGCTGCAAGCCATCCGAATCCTAGATCTGATCTCTGTTTTGCCTTTGATTGTTGAACCATGATACCTAACGACCATGGGAATGAACCACCACAGATCTGCTGTCGAGCCGTTCACTTCGTTTATGGCCAAGTGTGATCTTAGTGATCAGTAGGGATTCTTTGTTCCCTTCACCCTGGGTTTCTATGTGTTCAGATGATAGAATCAATCGAGGAGATATGAGATCTCGTAGTCCATGGGATCGGTCGGCTCGGTGGTGGTGTCGTCAGCATCAACTTGCTGGGCCATGTTAGCTTCAGCAGGTGCTTTCCCATGTTTCTGATACAAATCGCAATGAAACTTGGGAGTACGACAGTTCTTTGTCCAGTGATTGAACATTCCGCATCTGGTGCAGGCAGACTGATTGGTTGGGTGGGCAGGGCGGTTTGGTTTAGAGATACCACGGCCCTTACCGGAACCATAACCAAGGTTATGTCGGTTGCCACGTCCATTTCTGCATCCACGCTTTCCACGTCCATTCCCATGTCCACGGCCACGATCTGAGGATCTGTCTCGCTGGACATTGAAGGATTCTTTGTGGGAATCTGGTACTGGAGCCGATCCCGGGGGCCTCTGGGCACTGTTCCTCATTAACAACTCGTTGTTTTTCTCGGCCAAGAGCAAACAAGATAACAAATCTCCGTACAATGTATGTTTCATTGAACGATATTACTGCTGAAGCATAATGTTTTGGGTATGGAAGGTGGATAATGTTTTCTCGAGGAGATCATTATCAGACACCTCTTCACCACATAGTTTCATGATTGAAACTATCCGAAAGAGTTCGGAGTTGTAGTCATCCACAGATTTGTAATCTTGGAACCGGAGTTCCTTCCAGTCAAACTTGGCTTGTGGCAAGAGCACCGTTTTCTGGTGATCATACCGTTTTTTCAGGACCACCCAAAGTTCGAGTGGTTCTCAAGAGTGAGATACTGTTGTTTGAGGCTCGCGGCCAAATGATGGCGGATATAAAATATCGCCTGGGACCGGTCTTTATCAGATGCGGTGTTATCCGCTTTGATACACTCACCTAGTCCCTTTGAATTGAGGAAAATCTGGGTGTCCAGGGCCCATTCGAGATAGTTTCCACCGGAGACCTTGAGGGCCTCGAACTCGACTTTCTGAATGTTTGACATCTAAAAACATGAAATTGATTTCATTAGGGGTTTGTTAAAAGGATAGTTATATGAAAATAATTAAATTTTCTATTTGAGGAAACTTTATATTTGAGGAAAGTTTCTAATTTGGGAAACTTTCTAAATGAGGAAAGTTTTCATTCCGGGTCATTTGCTATTTGAGGAAAGTTTCTATTTTAGGAAACCTTCTAAATGAGGAAAGTTTCTATTTGAGGAAACCTTCTAAATGAGGAAAGTTTCTATTTGAGGAAAACTTTCTAAATGATGAAAGTTTCTATTTGAGGAAACCTTCTAAATGAGGAAAGTTTCTATTTGAGGAAAACTTTCTAAATGATGAAAGTTTCTATTTGAGGAAACCTTCTAAATGAGGAAAGTTTCTATTTGAGGAAACCTTCTAAATGAGGAAAGTTTCTAATATGGGGGAAACTTTCTAAATGAGGAAAGTTTCTATTTGAGGAAAACTTTCTAAATGAGGAAAGTTTCTAATTTGGGAAACTTTCTAAATGAGGAAAGTTTTCATTCTGGGTCATTTGCTATTTGAGGAAAGTTTCTATTTTAGGAAACCTTCTAAATGAGGAAAGTTTCTATTTGAGGAAACCTTCTAAATGAGGAAAGTTTCTATTTGAGGAAAACTTTCTAAATGAGGAAAGTTTCTATTTGAGGAAACCTTCTAAATGAGGAAAGTTTCTATTTGAGGAAACCTTCTAAATGAGGAAAGTTTCTAATTTGGGAAACTTTCTAAATGAGGAAAGTTTTCATTCCGGGTCATTTGCTATTTGAGGAAAGTTTCTATTTTAGGAAACTTTCTCGGGAATCGTAAATTTTAAGGATACGGAACATAAGTTCGGTTTAATGGTTTAAAGTTGGACCGGAATATTAGATTCCGGTTTGGGCCGAATTGATTTCCGGTTTAGAATAACCAGTTTGAACCGGTTTACCCAGATTGAGATCCGGTTATTATTTTTGGAACCGGTTTGATAATCGGTTTAACCGATGAACCGAATTGATATTCGGGTTTAGGAGTTAACCGAGAATGATTTCCGGTTTAGGGGATACACGAAAATTGCGGTTTTGGATTTGATTTGATTTAGGTTTTAAGATTTCGGCCATGGCTTAGTGTTTTCGATTTTGAGTGTTAGGTTTAAGTAATACAAGGTTTTTGATCTTTAAGCTTTTAAGGTTTTGTTTTTACCTTTCACCAATTAGGGTTGAACGAATTGAACCGGCAGCTTAAGACCTCGGTAACTCACGCTGTCGATGAACAGTACCGATGAACAGTGTCGATGAACAGTATCGATGAACAGTGTCGGCGTGAACAGTATCGGCGAACAGTGTCGATGAACAGTGTCGGCGTGAACAGTATTGGCGAACAGTGTCGATGAACAGTGTCGGCGTGAACAGTGTTTTGCGATTTTTAGGGTTAGGGTTGTTAAGAGCAAACTCGTGCTGATAACGTGTTGTGAAACTTATTGTTGTCTCTTTCCATTCCATGAATAATGATACATATATATAGGCATATAAACCTAGGGTTTTAGAGTACATAATGAATAACCCTGATGGGCTTATTGGGCCCGGTTATAAGTCCAATATGATGTATTATAACATAATTAACATTTTATGGTCTTTAACCAAAAGAAATAACGAACCTAAAACTCGGAATATTTTGGTTACAAAAACAAAATGCACATACTAAAAAATACACACTACTCTTTATATTCTCTAACAGTTTTTATTTTATTTTTTAAAATTAATCATCAATATATTTAAAACTCACAAATCTAGACAACTCTCTTAATTTTATAATTATATTTACGGGTAAGGACTAGATATATATGGTTGTTGCTTCTTCTTCTTTTTTTTGGCATAACGTTTCGTGGGATAATTTAGCAAAGGATTCAATGCAGATACATTAACAATATTCTGCTATGTGCTTTATGTTCTTCTATATGTTTTGTCATAGTAGAGGTCAGGAGATCAACAAAGATAGAAAGAGCACTAGTAGTTTGATCAATACGAAATATGTGAAAGAAAAAAAATGTGGTATGTAGTTACTCTTTTTGTTTTTGATTTCATCAATCTCTTAACTAAATGACTAAATTGCTTCAACTTTCTTCAACTTACTCAATATTTAGACTTTTATATATTCAAAACAGACCTATAAAATGGAATGTAAATTCGACTCTTTTTCTCTTTTCATATTCCAATTCTTGGATTTTAGTCTTGGGTGGAGTTGTGAATTTATTCCATTGTCATTTAATTTTAAGACATTCCATATGTATGTTATCTTAGTAACTAAACAGCTACTAGACATTGATTGGGCCTAGAGCGTCCAACACACATGTACAACAAAAAATCGCATACCTAAACCCTAAACTCTAAACCCTAAATCGGCACGTTGTTGGAAACCGGCACGTTGTTGGAAACCAGAAGACTAAAATGACACGATGTGTTAACAAAAATAGTCCCACATTGCTTAAATCCAAAATACTGACAAGGGAACGCAGAGTATAAAAAGAGAAGTTTACGAATCAAGAAAATTACTTACCTGGACGGGGTCAACTCACGATCAATGCGACAAGTGGTCTAGGCTAGTGACCATTGCACATATCGTTGGGGTGCTATGCTTAAGGTCTTCCTTTGAGGAAGAGCCTACGTCATTATTTGTGGCAGTGGGGGTTTGCGTTCGCGCAGACCCTACAATTCAACATTAGTCTTAAATTCTCATACTACAAGTAGTAGTCTTAGGTGGTGTTATTCAATGATGAATTTTAATAGAATTGAAATCTAACACTAATTCAGTGTTATTCAACTAATGATTCTAAATCTAACTTTAAAATCTGGTGTTATTGGATCTTATACTTCATTAGATTTTAATAATTTGGTGTTATTCAACTAAGATATAAAATACTTTATTAAAATCCAGTGTTATTCAAAACTAAAAGACTTGTAAAATTTTTTTATATTAAATCATTTGAAATGAAACTTCTTTGGAGTTTCATGAGTAAATTATTAGAATTAAAATCCAAAATATACTGCAGAGATTTAGAAATCCACACAAACAGATTCTTTAAAACAATATCAGAAAGCAAATCTAAACCTTAAATAATTGACTTTAACTCCATCATTAAATAACACCCCCTTAAATTCATGGCCATAATAGAAGATTCGAGAACCCATTTTGGTGCCGTGTATACTCAATAGTCCCACATTGGAAGTATCTTTATTTTAATCCTAACTAAATCTACGCAAAACGATAAACACAAAAAGTCCCACATCGGAATTATATATTAGCTTGATAGGTTCTGTTTTGGTATAAATAAAGAGGCTCTCCTTCACACAAACTCATCTTTGCGCTTGGGGCAATGACGCAGCTAATGAGGTCTTAACCGAGGCGCGTCTATTGCTGGTTGAAAACTATTTCCAAACCCCCTCCTAGGCCTAAGCTTGTCTTGGGCCTTCGAGAATTTCTGGAAGAGCTCCCTTCGGGGTAAAGCTCTACAATTCTTAGTTCAATATTTATCTCTACAATGTCGTTGGAGGTTGGAGCCACATCGGATGACCTGAGCCTACGGATATCTCTACAATATTTATCAAGGTATTAACGCAAGACTTGTTGCGGTCAAGCTTTGAGCTGTATTTAAGGGTTTTCTAATTTCTAGATCATGGAAAAGAAATGTATAGACCCTAGAAGAATGCAGAATTCAAATTTGTTGTTGAGTCACATAGTGTTCTTCAGGACTTCTTTTTATGTTTCATATTGAAAAATATGACGACAGCGAGTAATATGATCATGCCAACAAGCTCCACTACTTGCAAGTCACTTCTTGATGGGACGTGGGGATAAAAGGTGCAATTGCTATCTCAAAACCGACTCGACCGTTTGAGAAATTATCGATCGAGCAGAGATCTTTCTGGTGGTCCATGTACGCTATAGGCTACACTTTTTTCATGGTATATTAATGTGGACCAGAAACAGAAGACAGTAAGTCATGTCATAAAGAATATCAGTGATCATTTAGCTATATAATAATCTGATCGTAGTTATCTCATATCAAATATCATCTGGATATGCTAATCAAGAATTTGACATTCCATCCACTTTGATCAGCTTTGCGTTTCACATATAAGATTAGATTTCCAAGAAGAATCCATGAACTCGCCTTTGTTATCAAAATACAAGGTAGCGAGACTCGATAAAACAGAGGAAAGTGTTTAAGTTTCTTCCATTTTTGTTGCTTATTTAGATACAAAAAATTCAGTTTGTTCTATTTTTGTTGCAGGTAAAATCATTAATGCGTTAGTATGATTTTAAATTCCCTATCTCAATATATAGGCTATTTATCTCAACACACAACTAGGGTTTTTTCGTGTGTTCGTCTATGTATCACCATCCTCGGTTGAGCCGCAAGAGAAACTCTGAGTATATGATGTATATCTAAACCCAAAAGCAGCCACCACAGTGAGTGGTAGAGAGACAGTTGAGCCACTTATTATGTAACTTGCGCAGGAAGTTTTTGGTGGTTATATGATCTGTTGCTTGTGCTGCAAGCCATCTGAATCCTAGATCAACTCTCTGTTTTGCTTTTGATTGTTGTACCATGAGAATCTAGCCACCATGGGTTTGAAACACCGCAGATCTGTACTGCCGAGCCGCCAAGAAAACCGCTGAGTGATCGACTGATCGTCGAGAAAGGTAATCGGTTATGAACTCTGGTGTCTGTTCTTGACTTCTTGTTGCTTTTGTTGTTTATTAAACCGAGAGACTAAACCAGCCTAAACCAGTAGATCCTCCTCCGTGTATTTGAGTCCATAAACCAAACTTAATCACCGTGAGTTGATTTGTGGTATTGAGGTTGGATTTGTTTATTGATCCGGAACGTATTATCGTGGTCACGTTAGTTGGTTAATGGACCTGTGGTGGCGTAGTTACGTCTTTCGCAATAATAAATTATTAGATTTTGTTTGGTTTAGTTATTAAACCGGCTCTAATTAATTTAGTTGATAACACTAGAATCAATTTACCGATTTGGTTGGATTCGTGGATTAAATCATGGATATTAATTTTGGGTATTATTTTGATTTAATTTCTGACCAGTTAACCTTAATTGATCTAGACCGAGTTTGTTGTTGAATCGGATTATAATCTCCTGCAAGTCCTAAACCCATAAATCAATCTGAATTGTTAAAGTGAGAACGAGTTCATGTCTTCTTCGTATACCGATATATTTTTGTTAATCACTTAGTTTAAGATTAAGTCATCTGTACATATCAGTTATATATTTTATGAATAACCATATTTGTTCGTTGAGTGGAAATGGAAACGGAAACGGAGAAGTGAAACATGTGAAAACAGATTTTTTTTAAAAATACGAAATGGACACTTTTTGGAAACGTGTATATATCCTTATCTAATAAATCACAAGTAGATTTTCAAGGAATCCTTATCTAATAAATCACAAGTAGATTTTCAAGGAACTGCAACATTCTCTATTTGATACCTGTCATAAGTCTTAAAAATTCATCTTTCAGCTTTTTAAACAATTAAATTTTAAATAGAAAAAAGTCAGTCGAGAAAATCTTTTGCTTTTCGACACAACCGCATCCCCTTCTTCTCCCACGATCTCAAAATCGATCTCCACTTCTCAACAATGGAACTACAAAAAGGTTTCAGATCTCTCAAAATCAATATTCCTTTCAGATTACTTCTCACCCTTATTCCCCGATTTCTGAGATCAAAAACCAATGATTTCTCAATTTCTCAATCAATTGAACGGTGTTATTCATTAGAACGGTGTATTTCTCAATTTCTCCATATCTCTACTGAGCCTCCGTCGTTTGATTTGAATCAAAGGTAAGCTTTTCGACTATTTTAGATTATGAACCAAAAACCATCAGTCTAATCTTCTCCCACCTCATCTCAATCAAAGTATAATCCGTTGGAGAAGTTTGGGCTATTATAAGAAAGCTTTTTTTTCCTTTGATCCAAAGAGCTTACCTTTTTATGTGATTCTAATCTAAAATATTGCCTGTTGCAAACTTTTTAGTTCAATATTCAATCGTGATCAATCCGCATGTCACTTATTCATCAAAAACCATCATTTTAATCTTCTTCCACCTCATCTCAATTAAAGTATCGTATTTCTTTTTGTGTGTTTGATTTGCAGATATGCCACTCGACATTACACCTATTTCCCAAATAACTTTAGGCACTGATCCATGTAAAATCAATGTTCGAATTGTCCGTCTTTGGGGTTTTCCAAAAAAGGATAAACTAGAAGAATTTACAGGAATTGATCTTCTCCTTATGGATGAAAAGGTATGCTAAATTAACTTTATTTCCATGTTGTCATCACAAACAATCACGTGTTGTTGTGTTCTCAATTCTTATACAACTCTATGTATAATCATTTGTTGCTTTTAGAATGCTATTGAACAAGAAATAATCACTGTCTCTGGAAATTCAGTGGGACTTCAATCGGGACCTCAACTCAGGTTGTAAACTCAATTTATCACTTATCCATATCCCTTTACTATTACTTATTTTTATCTTTTTTTGCAGGCTGAAATTAACTTTGTTGATGTGGAAAAATTAGACAACAATGAAGACAACGCTTATAACGTTTCCACTCCAAAGCCTACAACTAAAAGATCCTTGGCAACATCTAAAGATGTTCAACAATCATCAACGAAGCCTAAGCTAATGTCCAAGGCTCAGATTAAGAAGGAAAAGTAATGATTGTACTTAAAACTATTGTCTCTCTTATTCTACTCTGCTAGGACTTAGGATTTAGGATTATCATTTTTTCTTAGGACTTAGGATTTCAGATGTTAGGACTTAGGATTATCACTTCTCAATTTGCGTTTTTCTTTTTAGTTTTAAGCCATGTTAACTTTCAAATTGATAATCAACTCTTAATTGCAAATTGGAATTAAAGAAGCTTTTAATCAATAGAAAGCCAAAGTAATTAAGGGAAAATTTATAGATTTGTGATTTGTGTTTGATTACACAAATCTAGAGCCAAATTAAAGTAACATGGGGTTGGGGATTAAAGAGAGAAGTCAGAAAAAGAGACTTTGACGAAGGAGTTAATAATCAGATTCATGTGCATATGTATTATTATTGCTTCTCGGATTTCTTACCAAATAGCTTTGCCGAAATCGAAACAGCTCCTAGATGATTCAACTCGACCGGAGACGGAGACGTCGAAATTAAGGAGACGAGAATCATATTAGAAGATAAATAGGATTTAGTGAAGGAAAACAAACGCAAATTTCAGGATGAACAATCAGAAAAAAAGAGAAATCGAAGAATTTTTTTTGTGAATGAGCTGCAAAAAGGATTATCACTCTCGAAGCAATTTTTTGCTTCTGCTATTCTGTTTTTTTATATATTTTTATTTTTAATAAACTAATATAGTAGCCCAATAGCTCAACAATACTACAAAGAAAATTTAACAATGGCCCAAAATAAAGAAAGATCCAAAATGTTGAAAAAAAGGCGCACGAGCTATAACACTAGTATATATATAAAGGGGCAGAGCTACACGACACTATAGAGGGACAGTTGCCACCGTCAATTTTTTAAAAACTAATGTTATTTTGTAACACTTTTTAATTCTGCCCCTATTAATATATTACTCAATGCCCCCATGACTTTATTATCTTCTATACAAACGTTTCTATTCTATGTTTTATTTCTCTTTTATTAGATTTTTATTATTTTCTCTTACTCCAATCTCTCTTTTTTACTTTTAAGTTTAGAACATTGTTTTTGTGTATTTTCGTATATGAAATCTCTGAGAATTTGGTTTATTAGAAGTAAAACCAAAAATGATTTGTCTTACAAATTTACAATTTATAAACATATATAATGTATACTATAGAATTAAAAATCAGAGACAACCATGATGATAAATTGATCATTATAATTGGATTTAGTGTCTTGGCTTAGAAAGAGCTGAATTGGAAACGAATTTTAAATAAGTGCTTAGTATGTTATTTTGAGAAAGATTTATTTGGATCTATCACTAATGGAAAAAGTGATAAGAAAATTTCAATTTATGAGTAAGTCGTAGGGTACGTTTGTAAGGTAGTATTTTTTTGTTCGTATATTTTATGGGGTTTGTAAGACATAATATTTTTTAGGTTTAATAATATTGCCACGGGTTAAATTATTTCCTAGATCCGCCACTATATATATATATATATATATATATATATAATATGAAACACCAAACTTTAAACTAATATTAAAAAATAATTTAAATAACATAAATTTTAATCTAAATATTAAAACAAAAATAAAAATTCTTGAATACCGTTTTAGTAACTAGAGCACTACATGCAGTTTTTATTTTAATTAAAACAAAAACAAAAAGACATGAATGGTGTCTTGGTAATAGAAGCACCTGTAAATTTTTTTTTTTCTGGCAGAAATCTTAGATTTAAATAGTAAAACAAAAATAAAGATACTTAAATAGATGAATGGTGTCTTGGTAACAAGAGCATTATATGCAGCATTTTTTTGCTTTAATTAAAACAAAACAAAAATACATGAATGGTGTCTTGGTAACAGGACAACTATATGCACGAGTCAATTCTTTATTTATTTTTGGTAGAATTCTTAAATCTAAATATTAATACAAAACAAAAATGCTTAAATACATGAATGGTGTCTTGGTAACAAGAGCACTACATGCAGTTTTTTTGCTTTAATTAAAAAAAAAACAAAAATACTTAAATGCATAAATAGTATCTTGGTAACAAGAGCATTACATGCAGCTTTTTTTTTTTGCTTAAATTAAACCATAAATAAAAATACTTGAATGGTGTCTTGGTAATAGGAAAACTATATGCACGAGTCAATTCTTTATTTTTTTGGTATAATTCTTAAATCTAAATATTAAAACAAAAACAAAAATACATAAATACATGAATAGTGTTTTGGTAACAAGAGCATTACATGCTGTTTTTTTTTGCTTGAATTAAACCATAAATAAAAATACTTGAATGGTGTCTTTGTAATAGGACAACTATATGCACGAGTCAATTCTTTATTTTTTTGTATAATTAGTAAATCTAAATATTAAAACAAAAACAAAAAAAACATAAATACATGAATGGTGTCTTGGTAACAAGAACACTAAATGTAATTTTTGTTTGCTTTAATTAAAATAAAAACAAAAAATACATGAATGGTGTCTTGGTAATAGAAGCATTACATGTACGGATCAATTATTTTTTTTTTTTTGCAGAAAACTTAAATCTAAATATTAAAATATATATATATATATACTTAAATACATCAATGGTGTCTTGGTAACAAAAGCATATTACATGCAGCTTTTTTTCTTTAATAAAAACAAAAATAAAAACACATGAATGTTGGTAACAGGACAATTATATGCATGTGTCAATTCTTTTTTTTTTTTGCATAATTCTTAGATCTAAATATTAAAACAAAAACAAAATTACATAAATACATAAATGGTACTTTGGTAACCACAGCACTATATACAGTTTTTTTTTTGCTTTAATTAAAACAAAAACAAAAATAGATAAATATGATTTTCTTGGTAATAGGAACGAACACTACATGTACAAGTCAATTCTTTTTTTTTTGGCACATATCTTAAATCTAAATATTAAAACAAAAACAAAAATATTTAAATACATGAATAGTGTATTGGTAACAAGAGCACTACATGTAGATTTTTTGCTTTAATTAAAACTAAAACAAAAATACAAGAATGGTGTCTTGGTAATAAGAGCACTATATGCACGGATCAATTCTTTATTTTTTTCTGGCAGAAATCTTAAATATAAATATTAAAACAAAAACAAAAATACTTTAATACATTAATGGTGCCTTGGTAACAAGAGCAGCAGTTTTTTTTGCTTTAATTAAAGGGAAATATCAAGGGATATGCATAGAGGAAGCGATAATTAAGTCCCTCCTGTTTACACTGTTCCATCGTTTCTGTTCAATTTTTTTTGACGCATGTACCCCTATAGCATCAAAGGAATCGTATTTAGATTATAGGGTTGTATCATTGCAGAAGGTAGGAGAAGATTTTGGGAATATTGTTTTGGGGAGATGTGCGATTTAAATTTTTTTTTTCTCCAGTTTCCGAACCGTCGTGTTTGTTCTCATCATATATGAGGAGGAGAGACGGTGTTTTCAGTCAGAGAGAAAAAGGAAACAACTCCCCAAAACTGTCCTCTCGTCTTCTTTTTCTCTGGTTCTGTTTTTCTAGCAAAGGGTTATCTCTCAGATCTGGGTTTTGTTCTTCTCCTCTTTTCTTGTAATTAAAATCGTTTTTTTTCTGTTTGATTAAGCTTTGAACGCCGTGTTTATTGTTGTGTAACTAGATTTTTTTTTTTTCTCAGAACCAATGCCTCCGATTCTGCTTCCTCCCCGGTTGATTGCGTTTGGTCACGAGCCTCGCGGCGAGAGGGTTAATGTGTATCATAAGATGAAAACCCTTTGCGCTATCTTCAACGCTCTCGACGATGGTGAACGGCAGTTCCTTTCTCGATCCACATTCGGTCAACTATTGGAGTTTCCTAACAAACCCGCCTGGTCTGCGAGCTTTGGGATTTTTATATTGGGTAGACAGTTGGAGGTGGCGAAGCCGAACGAGATTTGGGTGCTCTTTGCCGGAATTCCTATTCGTTTTTCTTTGAGAGAGTTCAAGATTGTTACGGGTTTACCTTGTGGGAAGTATCCGGCTTTGAAGAAGAAAAAGAAGAAAGGCACTGCGGGGATGACGATTCCATTTTACAGTAAGTTGTTTGGCCTTGAAGAAGATGTAACTGTAGACCGGGCTATTACGATGTTGAAGAAAAGGATTATCTCCGATGCAGATATGAGGATTCGATGTGCTTGCTTAGCGATTGTCGATGGTTTCCTTGTCCCTACCTCTCATTATCCTAAGATTGTTAAAGCTCACGCCGAAATGGTTGAGGACGTGGATGCATTTCTTGCTTACCCTTGGGGCCGTCTCTCTTTCGAGATGATGATTAAGTAGATAAAAGAGAGGGAAATTGAACAATTAGCAATTACTTGTTTTAGCGTTCAGGGGTTGTTATACGCTCTGCAATTGGTTGTCTTACAGGCAGCTCCATCTATTCAAGATGGACCTGTAATTGATGAGATCATTGAGTCTGAAACTGAAGCCGGCGATGTCGATGTTGAAGATGCCCCTCGAGAGTCTGTCCCTTTCAAGCTAGGGAATGCTAAAGTGTTGGATAAGAAATGCTCGGTAATGTCCTTATCTCTTTAACTTTGTTAACATTTATCGAGATTGTTATCAGTATATATTGTACAAGTTTCCGATAATTATGTTGTTAATCACTAACGACTTTTTCACTTAAGCAAATTAACGCCATCTGGTATTATTATCTTGGTTGTTTTGCAGATTTTTGTTGATTCCATTATTTGTCCTGATTTTGTGTTGGATCCGGAGGAAGATTTGTCTTTGTCTGATGATGAGGAAGATGAGAAGGTCGATAATATTATGATGTTTTTAGGTGAGGGTCTGATTTTCAAGAATGACATGTTTGATGGTGGAGTTATCCCATCCCAGTTGAAATTGGCTTCAAAAAAACAAAAGCGTGGTGGTAAATCCAATGGTAGTCGCACTAGGAAAGCTGCCAAACTAACTAAGAACGGTGGTGTTAGGAGCAGACAAGAAAGACCTATCCCTGAGGAAGGCGGGAATTCAGGGGTTCCTTCGTTGGAGTCTATTTCCCTTTTGTTGGATGCCAAACTTGAAGGTCAGGCGAAAAAAATCATTGCCGCGGTGACTGATTGGTTCACTAAAAACACTGTTATTGAAGGCGAAACCTCGAAAGAGCCTGTCAGTGGGTCTACTCGTCCTAAGAAGGCTGCCAACAATGGTAACGATGGTGTTTCTAATTCTGATGGTCTGGGTTCCAATGGTGGTAATGATGATTTTGGATTTGATCCTCTCCGCCCCTCCCGCCGGAGAACAATGTCCCAATGGATGAAGATCTCCCCTCCCCAGGTCTGATTGCTCATCCGCAGGTAAGTTTGTAGGCAACGATTGTTAACTAAGAGATTAGTTGTTATGTCATTAGTTTGGTAATAGTTATCTTAGCATCAAAACATATAATGTGTTTTTGTTTCTTTTTCTTTCGTTGGATAACAATTACTGTACTAATTTTTTAAAAAAATTTTTAGGGCGGTAACAATGTTACAAGTCATGTTGTCCCACCCACAGAGTCTGTTGTTGAAGATAACGCAGAGGTTAGTTGCTATGTTATAGTGGTGTAACTGTTAGTAAAATGTTTAATCTATATAGTTGTGTTTAATGGAGTTTTGTTAACCAGGTTTGCATTCCCCCCTCACTGTTTAATTAAATTTTTTTTTTTTTTTGGTTCTAGCCGGAGAACAATGTCCCAATGGATGAAGATCTCCCCTCCCCAGGTCTGATTGCTCATCCGCAGGTAAGTTTGTAGGCAACGATTGTTAAGTAAGAGATTAGTTGTATGTCATTAGTTTGGTAATAGTTATCTTAGCATCAAAACATATAATGTGTTTTTGTTTCTTTTTCTTTCGTTGGATAACAATTACTGTGGTTATTTTGTTTTGCAGGGTGCTGACATTGTTGCAGGCGTTGTTGAACCCACTCTCCAAGCTGGTGGTGGTGATAATTCAAAGGCAAGTTGTTACGTTTTAATGTGCTTGTTAACTTCTAACAATTATATTAACCTCAAACAAATAAATTCCTCCTTTTTTCATGATAACAATAATTTCGATAAATGTTTGTGTAGGTTGCTAACAATCCTTCTATCGTCGACGACCTCCTCTTTAAACGAGTTGTCAACGAGGCAAGATATTAAAAATATTTTAGCAACAATTGCCCTCTATTTTATCGGCGTAATCATCATCTTGAATTCTCTGTATTTTGCAAATTTTTTTTTTTTATTTTTCTCTTTAGCGCGTTGAGAATGTTCCAGTAAATGAAGCATTTATAACTCCCAACGATTCGATCGTTAACCAAGAGGTTATCTGTCATCTATTTATTGCAGTCATTATCTAATTAGTGCAGTTATTTGTTTGTTGCCTGATTCTTAACATTTGTTATCGCTTGAATGGACAGGTTCAATGCTCTCAGCCGACAGGTGGCGTTGTGGCCCCCCCGCCTAATGCTTTAGAGGAAAGCCAGGTAATAGATCAATTTTATAATACAAGATAGAATATGTCTGTCTTTTGCAATTCTGTTTTCGCTGCTGGATTAAATTCATTTCAATTATTCCTTGCCCAGGGTGCCCCTGCGTCGGATGATGGTAGTGTTGGCGAGGAGACGTCTGTGGGGATCCCGGATATCTCGGTTAGCAGCTAAATTACAAACCATATTGTTCCCATTTCCTTAGGCTTTTCTTTCCTCTTATGTTCTATTCTCTTTGTAAAGGTCAATTTTACGGGTGATAACGTTATTAGGCACTAAACTATATATTTATTTTTGTTTTGGAATTATTTATAAGTTTTTTGGTGGTTTAAAATTTCAATTTTAGTTTTATTCAGGTACTTATTTTTATCAATGCATCCCTCTACGCTAGCCAACCTTAATCTAGATATGAAAGGTTAACGTACTAAGAGTCTTTTTAATGTCGCTGTTCTTTATTTTCTATGTCTATTTTTACTTAGTTTAGCCCTCAATCTGTTTGCGGTCTTGATGATGTTGGGAAGATTAGTTGTGAACCTCCCAATGACCCTGTTCGTGTGATACCTATTAAAATTTAGTCATCCTGCAAACCCGGTCGTGTACTCATATTGTCTGTTTTGTCTTAAAAAATTTTGTGAATAAGGCTGCTCCCCCTTCTGATGGTGGGGTTGTGTGTGATGGAGAGGCGGTTGATATCCCGGAGGCTGTTTCTATTGATATGGCAGCAACTAATGATCTGGTTTGTATTATCAGGGCCCTGACTTGTCATTTATCTGAAATTTTTTAATTATATATATCGAGTAGCCTTTAAATTTTTTATTACTCCCATTTTTTGTAGGGTGTTGGCCGGGGCGCACCTTCTTTTGTTGCCTCCCCACGCGAGGTTGTATTGTATTTTCTATGTGTTTGTTTTGGTTGCTAACTAATTCTTTACTCCCTATTAATCATTCCTTGTGGCTGTTTTCTCAGGATTCTGATGAGGTATTATCTAATTGTTTAAATGCTATTGTTTTACTAACAGTTAGTTTGTTTTTAATTATTTTCCCATTTCAGGATTTCACCACTCCCCCCCCCCCTTCTAAAGTAGGGAAGTCTCCCCTCCAGGTTCATTTGATAATATTTAGTATCTTTGGTAGGTAAATCTCAAATTTTGCTCCTTTTCTAATTTAGTCCACTCTCCCTGCAAGATGATGGTAATGCTAACGATTTGGATGGAATGATTGGGAGGAGAAGTAAAAGGGTCCGTACTCTTTCTACCAAGCTAGATGGTCGATTCCAGTATGAAAAGAAAACGAAGTTGTTAGTTGGTCATCCATCCCCTGTTGTCAATCAAGCTAACATTTCCGTTGACCCTGAGGAACGCTTCCAAAATTCACTGAAGAAACTAAAGGCGATAAGGTATTGTGTATTCTGATATTTTTTTGTTTAGCCCATACAATGATTACCATTATATTTCCCTCTCGATAATCTTTCATATCATCTTGTTCTTTCAACAGTTCTATTAGCTTTTGTGGTGGTGTTGCTCTGTCTAATAAAGATATTTTGGATTTAATTGACCGGAAGAAAAATCTTTCAAGCAAGGTACCGTTTTTGTAAAATATATTCTATTGAGTGAGTTTTATATTGGGTTATTTCCTTTTATTTCAAATGTTTTTTTTTTTCATTCCCCCAGGTTATGGATGCTCTCATCAAGTTTAGTCGTCATTTGTTGAGGACTGATGATGTTGATGGCGATAAACTTCGTGTTGAAGTCCTTGATTCAAAGTTTGTTTCTCTATTCTGCCGTCAATACCCTAAGTTTTCCCGATGCCCGTCCAAATCGGAGTTCCAATTCCCACCGTCACTAACCGATCTCCTTTCCGGTGCTGGGGAGTCTGACCGTGTCCAGTTATTCACGGACGCTGATTACTTGTATCTGCCTTTTAACTTTGACAAGAAGCATTGGGTAGCTTTAGCTGTTGATCTTAAATTCCGGAAGATCATTGTCTTGGATTCAAATATCCAACGCCGCAAAGATTCTGCTATTCAGGATGAGCTTATGCCTCTCGCAGTAATGCTGCCATACCTTTTCAAATAGGCTGCCTTGAATCCTCTTATGAGTAACTGTCTGCTGGATCCATTTTCTATAGAGCGCCCTATTATCATTCCTCAGGTTGCTTCACCCCTTGATACTGGCATCTTCTCTATATTCCTTATCCATACTCATGCTACCGGGGGTATGTCTGAATGCGTGGATTTCGAGGTTGGCGGCCTTCAAAGTGAAGTGAAAAAGTTAGTGTCGGCTTTAATCCTCGCTGGCGGTTACTAGCTAACTCTAATGTTATCGAAGTTATATTTTCAGTGGTGTTTATGTTCATCGGATCCTGTCTTCCCATTCTTCTTTATTTTGTTTAGGTAACTAGGATTTTATCCAAACTTGCCCCTTAATAGATTTGGAATTGAACGTTTTATTGTCGTAGCTTCGTAATTTATTATGAGAAATTTAATACTCAGTAAATTCTCAATTTTTGTTGACTTTGCCATATTAGTCCCGTCGTTAAGTAGGTTAACGGAATCCAAAACCGGGGTTAACTATCTGTTAATTGAGCCCACTCTCCAAGCTGGTGGTGGAGATAATTCAGAGTCAAGTTGTTACGTTCTAATGTGCTAACAATTATATTAACCTCTAACTATTGTTATCAGGAATAATTTCTTCCCTTTTTCCTGATAACAATAATTTCGATAAATGTTTGTGTAGGTTGCTAACAATCCTTCTATCGACGACGACCTCCCCTATAAACGAGTTGTTAACGAAGCAAGATATAAAAATATTTTAACTACCAAAGCTGGTAGTTAAGACAAAATGACGCCGTTTTGTCTTAGCGGCTCAATTAAATCAAATCGAAGTCTCGTCTCCCCCAAAGTGAGAAACAGAAATCCCCAATTCACAAGAACCCTAACCCTTAAAAGAGAAATCATTCAGAATTGTTCTATTTTCGTTTCGGAAATTGATTGAGTTTTCAGATTGTGAGTCTTTTAACTTGATCTTCCTACTCCAATGAGTTCAAGTTCAGGGTCATATGGTGCTGGCGGAGACCTCCGTGGTTTTCCGTTGAAGTGTTCGTGTGGAGTAGATGTGACGATCTTCACGTCGAAGTCTCAAGAGAATCCAGGAAGGCCTTTTTTCCGTTGTAAAACGAAAAGAGATCCGAAGTCGTGGACAAACAAAAGAGATGTTAGTAGAGTTGGTGTTTATGTTGTGTCTTTGTGTAGTTTAGTAGCTAAACTTGTCTGATTTGGTTTGGTTGTGCAATAGGGTCATGTGTTTAAGTGGGTTGAGGATGCTGTGTACGAAGAGGTTGAAGATGCTTTACCAAAATTTGGAATCATTGCAAACGAGATAAACCAAGTCAAATCTGAGGTTAATGAGCTTAATGTGATGTTACAAGAGCTTAAAGATGAAGCAATCTTGAGCAAAAAGGAGATCCGCAAGTGGAAAGTGTGCTTGCAGATGTGTTTTGTGTGGCTTTGCTTGATCAGCATTGTCATTGTTTACATGATGCTTAGTCAGGCAAAGAAAAAGGAATTAGCTGTTGGTATTAGTTATTGAAGAATTTAACTAGGTAATAAATGACTCGTTGTCTGATCGTGTATGTCGTTTTGATTAATTTTGGCGATTTCTGCCAGAAGGTTTAATGGGCTACCTTTTTAGATAGTCGTTATTTATTTTATCATCTAACGTTATTATCGTCTAGCACAGAAGCTGTCTTATAGCTCAGGTCATAGAGAAGTTGGCTCCCCCAGTGTTAGGATGTGTAAAAATGTGTCTAACGTTATTATCATCTATCTCACATTTTCAGTTGTTTAACACTATGTGTCGAAATGTGTTATCGTCTAACGTTATTATCGGCTAACGTTATTATCAGCACACCGTTACCCTTTTCTCCCGTAGTTTAAATTACTTTCAACTCGGTTGTGACATAAGTTGGCTCTCAGTTTAATATACATGTTTTATCGTATCGGGACAACATGTGATTTAATCTGTATATTTTTTAATCGGTAATTATTATTTCCTGCTAGTAGTTATATCGGCTAACATGCCTACCCATTTAAAGTTACGGGCTAGATTAAATTTTATGACATCTCGATTTTTCTAATTTTCATTTTTTATCCCAACTGTTGCTGTGAAATAATCTTCTATCACGATAACTTACTTATCCGTGATTAATGTCGGTTAGCTAACTTTTGGGCATAGAGATTTCTCTATCATTGAAACACTTAATAAACATTGCCCATTATATTGAACATTTCTTCCCTAAATATGGATGGGATACGATAATTTTACATTTAGGGAACAGTAGCCGTACGTATGCACAATGAAAAAATTTCTGATCCCTTTAATTCCTTATTTATTTCACATAGCCAGGCCAATTTCTTTATTAATCCTGACAACATCCATCCATCCCTTTACTCGCCAAAAAACGTCCTTCCTTCCGTTCTCTATGTACCCTGCATTACAACGAGATATAGTAAATATTCCATAATTCATTTACTAACTGTTAAAGTATTTATTACCGTTATTGGGCCATTGCAGGTTGCCCTGTTATGACCTAATGACTTGCATCGTGAGCATCTTTTCCTTGATGTTCTCTACAAATGTAATAGAATGTTACTACCTAATAAGCTTAGCACATAAGAGAATTAGTACTGTTTATCACATATATAGTTCACGGTGGGTACCTTGAACTCGCCTCTTGAAAATAATCTTCGTTTCCTTGGGCGTCCAGGCGGTCTCCGAACATATGGTGGAGCCCGTTTCCCATCCCCTACATCATTTGGGGAAGGAGTCAGTGTCTCCGTGTCGGGTACCGGCATTATTAGCGCTTGGTAAGACAACCTAAGCTGGGGGTTGGTGTGATGGACTCCAACTAGCGTGTCCACTCTGATTCCTTCTTGTATTGCTGCCGCTATGGCATGAGAGCAAGGGATTGTTAGCAGCTGAAACTCCCTGCACGTACATGTTCTCTCCCATAGGTTGACCGCAAATGCTGCGCCTCCTTTTTCTCTAACTTCATATAGCCCTTCCCCAATCTTTATTACAGCACATCCTGCTCCTTTCTCGTAATTTTCGATTACCATATCGTTCACCTTTGGCAGTAGGATATTGTCCTCAAGCTGGGCAGCTTGCCTCCTAAGCGCAAACCATGTCACGAGAGTTGTGCGGATAGACTCTAAGATTGAGATTACCGGGTAATCTCGAGCCATGGTTAACACATTGTTTAGCGACTCCGCTATATTACTTGTCATGAAGTTATATCTATTTCCAACAAAATGGGATCTCGTCCAATGCTCAAATCCAATACCTGCCAGGTAGTCAGCGCATGGCTCATGCTTAGCCCTAATTTCAGCAAAAAGCCGGTTGAAATCACATAGGCGATAAGCCCTCGCTGCACACGATACCAATGCACTTAGCTCCTCAGATTTAAAGTAAACCTCAATGTTCCTTTTCAGATGGACGATGCAAGCAGCATGAGATGACATTGGATAAACCTGCGCAAAGATTATAGACGTTAGTGGATATCTTAGCATGCGTAATAGATATTGGGATAATTGTCTTTGTATCAGTTAACAACAATGTTACCTTGTGTATGCTGGCATAAATTGAGGAGTGCCTGTCAGACACAAACACCAACTCTGGATCATCTGGTATAGCTTCCGTCAGTTTAGTCATGAACCAAGTCCACGCCTCATCGTTCTCGCTGTTTACTATCCCAAATGCAACGGGAAACACTTGAAAATTCGCGTCTTGTGCACTAGCTGCAATTAAGCATCCGCCATATCGTCCTCGTAGGTGAGTCCCATCAATGACTATCACCTTCCTCATGTAAGCATACCCTTGAACACATGCATGAAGCGCAAAAAACAAGTACTTGAATCTCTCTATTCCAGAGTTATCCTTCTCTGTCTCCATTGCTACTAGAGAATTTGGATTTGTCTCTAGAAGTAGCTTGAAGTATGGTTGGATTAGAGCGTAACTTCCCATAGCTGACCCCATTGCATTGTCCATAGCTATTTCTCTTGCCCGCCAAGCTTTCCAATATGAGACGTTGAGGCTGAATTCCTGGCGTAGCATCCTTCTCAGCTCATTAGCTCGTGGTCCCCTGCCTACTCCAATATATTTTGTTCGCATTAACTTCCCAATTACAGCCGTGGAAGCTTGCTTGTGGAAGTCTCCTCTAGCATCCACGCTACATGTGTGGTTTGGTGTTGTGCTTCTCACCTCGAACCGATCGCTATCTGCCAGCTTTGTTGCATAAACCCGCCACGGGCATGTATGGCTGACGCAGACAGCCGCCACAACATTAGGCCCGGATTTCGCGTATATGAAATGGAACTTCCGGCGAATCGCATGAATAGCTAATTTCGTTGCACAATCCTCTTTGGTTTTAAAAATCCTGCCGATGTAAATGTCATCTCCTTCGTAATCAGCATCCTTTAGGGCTCGTTGGAGAGCATCTGAGAAAGAGAGGAACGACGCAACTGACATTAATAATAAATTCAGTATTTAATTACTTTATTATTCTGATATCGTAGTTAGTGCAATAACTTCTTACTTATCACAAATGGATAAACTATTATTTAGTGCTCTAAACCTATTGTTACCTTCCTCTCCTGGATCGTCGAAATATGGGGGTGCATCTCTGTCATAGAATACCGTTCGAACGGGTGTATCCTTCACGATCATCTCATTCCTCTGTACCTCGGATACTCTTGTGTTAGTTGATGGCATCCCTATTTCTTTAGTTGATAACCCGTCATCTATCATGATACTTTTGCCTTTATCTATCATTGTGATAGGTTGAGGATCCATAATCACAGGGCCATCAGGATCAGAGTAAAAGTGTGCCAGTGTTTCGTCACCTACAGTTTAAAGCATTTTATGGTTGTTTGATTGTGCATAAACAAAATAGCGGATAATATATTGATTATTCATTAATATACCTAATTGTGATAAGCTGTTGTTGTTCGACGAGTCACTATCCTCCATTAGGTCTTCGGTACTGAAAGAAATGCTTCTCGAAAGCGAGGTTGGCGTTCCGAAGGTTGAATCGCTTGACGATAAAGCGACCACCGGCGGCCCAACAGCTGGTGCTTCTGAACTCGCTAGAGTTAGACGCAAATCCGCATTTGGATCTCTCTTTGACTGGTCGCTACTTCCAAAATCTAGGACCCTCGATGTTTTGTCTGTAATTTCCATGTTGTCTCTTATGGTTACCCCTTCATACTTGTTGCGCTGCTCACCGCCTTTACTTATGTTCACCTCGTTCTCCTTCCCCATTGTTGTCATACTGTCTGCGTTACCTGTAACAGGTTTAGTATTAGTAGATAACCAATTTATCTACTAATTTTATTATCCGCCAATATTGTTGATTTAGAGCTGAAAATATATTCTTGATTACATTGTAATAAAACCGGTTAATATCATTAGCTTCTAATTCTTACTGCAATATATTCAGTTGTTCACCTGAAATGTTACGCAGTAACATTCGTGTTAGCGCGGTTCCCCAGACAGCCCTCGTTTCTGCGCTATTCCAGTATTTTTCGGATATTTTTTTTGAACTTAGGCCGCTTAGATCCATGTTACTCCAATAACTATTAACGTTTCGCTCAGTCCCACCTCGTATAATCCTGACCCGCAGATGGACTTCATCTAGATCGGCCCTTATCGCCATGAACAGAGTCATGTCCTCATCGTCTAATATGTCGATCGGGTTTGCACGTTTCCAATCAGGGCCCATCATCCACTGTGGCCACTGGTACGTTAACTCGATATCGTCTTCAGGACGCAATGCTAACTTTTCTTTTACCGCCATAACCACTTTCGCAAACCCATCTTGCTCTCGCAGGCGTACTCCTAGTGCAAACCCATCCATATGTGAGACGTGTTCGAAAAAGCCGTTTTCATTTTTTTTCCATTCCCCAGGGACCAATCTCACCACGAACGCCATTTTTACCTGCTAGTGTTTTCAGCAATAAAAAAGTTGTTAGCGTTCTTGTTATTCTTAACTATGAAACCCTAAATTTTAAAAAATTCACTCTTCTGAACATCAATAATAAAGTATGTTATACCCAGATCTTTTACTTTTACCTTTATGCTTTGATGTCTCTGTGTGTTTATCTTTCTCTTGCACTAAAGATGTCGGAAGCTAAGGTATTTAGAGTGATAGAACTGGGTTGTTGCAGCAAAGAGGATATAGTGCTAATAAATAGACAAACGTCTATATTCGATATACCCGCAACCCAACATTTATCAGCTGCAATGATTTACCGTATCTCTATGTTTCCAATGCCGGCGGGCGATATCTTCCAAGATATCCTCAGCATTTAATGCTGCCGCCCCTAAGCTATAACTGTTTTCGTTTTTTTGGTTTTGTAGGGGCTTTTTCGTCATAATTTATGTCGGGAAGAGAGAGGTTTAATTACCTAATCTTCATGCATACAAACTTAATATTCTCATCCTCTGGGCATAGATATTAATATAGCCCTTAATTAAAATAAAAACAAAAATACAAGAATGGTGTCTTGGTAACAAGAGCACTACATGCACACGTCACTTCATTATTTTATTTTCTGGCAGAAATCTTAAATGTAAATTTTAAAACAAAAAAAAAAAATACATAAATACATTAATGGTGCCTTGGTAACAAGAGCATTACATACATTTTTTTTTTGCTTTAATTAAAACAAAAACAAAAATACATGGACGGTGTCTTGGTAATAGGAACAGTACTACATGCACGGGTCAATTCTTTTTTCTTTTCCAGCTTCCCCTTCAAAACCTTAATCAATGAATTTTTGGTTAGAGGAATATGATCATAGAAAATTAACATTGGGAGTAGCAATAATTGATTGACCATAAATTTTTAACTGATGGAGTAATGTGTCTCTTGTCTTTTCATCTTCATCAGTTTTCTGTATAAATATACAATGATTCAATTCTATGTAATCATTTCTTAAGAACAGAAATATCTGATCCAACCAGTGGAGATTATGTCGACGAAGAGGAGAGCATATGGAAGCAACGATGTGAAGATAGAAGGGAAAAAGCGTAAGGTTGAGTCGGAATCAACTCATGTTACTCTGAACGTGAAGGGTCAGGTAAAAAATTGATTGTTGAAATTACATTTTCAACATTAGCATGCATGACTTGATATAACATGTGTAGATTTATGTAGGATGAGGAAGGAGTAAAAGTGTTTAAGGTAAGAAGGACTGTTAAGCTGCAAAAATTGATGGAATTGTACACCAAAATGAGAGGCGTCGAGTGGGACACATTTCGCTTTCTATTTGAGGGCTCGAGGATTCGAGAGTATCATACACTTGATGGGGTATGTATTTATCATTCAAGCTTAAAGATTCTTATCATATATTAATATAAGTCATTCATAAATGATCTTTTTTCACTGTGTTTTGTTTAGCTGGAGCTTAAGGATGGAGATGAGATTCAGGGCCGGCCCATGGCTAAAGCCCATGAAGCAAGGGCTTTAGACATCAAATAATTATAAGTAGTTTTAGGGGCATCAGTTTTAAAAATGTTACAGTGGTCTAGTGGTTAGTTTGAAGTCTTATGTTGTACAACTCACGGTTTCGAATCCCAAGCATGTTAAAACTTGTATTTTTTTTTCCTTATAACAGTTTTTGTTAATGGGCCAATTTTTTTTTGCTTTAGGCACTCAAATATTTTGGGCACTGATGAGATTGATGCAATGTTGTATCAAGAAAGTGGTTTTGGTCCATCTTCTTTAATATTTAGAGTTTGAGTGTTCTGGTGTGAATGTAATAGTACGCAGATTTATATGTTACATTCAAGAAAATGGTTCATTGTTACATGCAAGAAAGGAACAAAATTCTATGTTGCTTCTGTTACAAGTTTTGAATAGAATCAAAAAGTTGCAAACTTTGAGGAAAGGGAAGTAACAAAAGGAAACTTTTTTCTGTATTACTTAAATCTAATTTATTTTCAATGATGAAACATCCTATACAAATACCATTGATACCATTCTTACATCGGCTTCTTTCACCAATACAGACTTTAAGAAGTCTCTGAGATTTTTTGAAATATGGCAGAAGAAACCGGTAACAATAATAATTCTTCTCTGTTTCAATATCAGACCATATCATAGTTCTGGTGTTTTGAGGGATCATCTATGTTAGCTAAAGCTGTTCTTGATGGTTTTTTGGTAAACAGAAAATGCTGCAATTGAGGTTAATCGAGGATTGCTTAAGGAGCTTGAAGATATGGGATTCTCGATGGCTCGAGCTTCATGGGCTTTGCATCACTCTGGTATGTATAAACCATTTCAAAATGTTCAAGAATCATGTCATGGATCAGTCATATTTTGTCACTCTCTTCATCTTTAGGTAACTCTAGCCTTGAAGCAGCTGTGAATTGGATCATAGATCATGAGAACGATTCGCAGTTTGAAAAAATGCCTTTGGTATGTATAATTCATCTTTATATTTTTCTTTCATAGATTCATAGAAAACTTTTGATCAAAGGTGGTCTTTCAGGTGGAATTTAACATTGAGATTGAGTCTCCAAATCCATCTCATGATACTGCAGAAAATGCTCAGGCAAGAGCAAAGGAACTAATGTAAGCAAGTCTCTTATGTTTATAGGCATATTTCTTAATCTTTGATTCTTTTTAAGGACAAGAGACTTCATTGTTTATGTATTCTCAGGGAACAAGCTCGTAAACTAAGAGAAGAAGAAGAAACTAAAGGTGAAAGAGAAAGAGAAAAGGTACGAATGTATTACTTGCATCATATATAATCGTTACGAAAAAGACTAAAAGCTCTAAAACTCTTGCAGGAAAGGATACGAGCAGGGAAAGAGATGATGGAGACAAAGCGAATTGCGGAAGAAAACGAAAGAAAACGGTATGAGAAAGAGAAGTTTGTTTCTCACATTGTCCCTTTGAACTAAATAAAACAATGTTTGATACTATAAAAACAGGAACATAGCTTTGAGGAAAGCTGAGAAAGATGAGGAGAAAAAAGCAAGAGAGAAAATTATGCTGAAACTTAATGCAGACAAGGTGATGAATCTTGATATCTTTTTGTACACTAAAATTGAAAACTGATTTGATTAAATGTATATGTATAGTTGGAGAGAAAGCGGAGGCGCGGTTTGCCAACCGAAGAATCTGCTTCGACATCAATTCAAGTTTCTTTACTTGACTATAAGGTACAGTCGTACGGAGCCTTTTCATCTGTTGTTTGTTACCTTAAAACTATGAAGAATCTGACAGTTTTTCTGCAACATTACAATTACAGAGGAAAGTAATGTCGTCGTCACGCCCTGCCTCGAAAGCAGAGGAGATGAGAGAATGCTTAAGGTCATTAAGACGAAACCACAAAGTAAGAGAACGTTTTAGGATGATTCCAAAAAACAATAAACATGAGAGGAAATGAAATCTTTCTTTTTGGTTGTTGTAGGATGAAGATCCAAGAATCACGAGGACGGCATTTGAAACGCTTCTGACAATTGTGAGGAACGCAGCAAAGAAGCCAGACGAAGAAAGATATAGAAGAATCCGTCTCACGAACCGCTTGTTCCATGAGAGAGTTGGAAGATACAAAGAAGGTATTGAGTTCATGGAACTCTGTGGATTCAAGACAGAGGAAGGATCTGAGTTCTTGTCTCTATCTTATCACGATGCAGACATCAACCGGCTTCGAGACGCTGCGTTTCAGTTGAACTCTGCGATTACCAATCCCTTCTTTGGTCTTCTTTCCACCAAAGCTGAAGAAGACCGTGAAAAATAATCTTTCTCTTTCTGACATGTTGTGCAAGTCGAAACTCAAAAATTGTTATTATATGGCTACAACAACAAAATGTAACCTGATCATATCAATACATAAAAAATTAATGGTTATGATACCATGTTAAAAACTCAAACTAGAACTTGAATGTACTAATGATTGTGATAGGATGCAAGACGAGAATGGCAGTGATGAGTTGGCAGGTGATGTGGCAGTGAGAAGATCGACCAGGCCACGTCAACAGAATCGCAAGTACTTGGTTTGAAGATGTCTAACGACTTCTCTGTTTTTATTTGTTTCAACAATAAGTGGAAATAGTCATCCTCAATTTGAGGAAAGAATTTCTCCATCTTTCCAGTTCCTGTTTTGTAGGAGTAGTGACTCCACTTTGTGTTTCTTGTTATTTTGCTTCCTTGTAATCGTTCTTCTATTTAAGCAATGAGAAAAACCAAAAATAGGTAGTCTTAACTACCACACAAAAATCTTGTCTATTGTTCTTTGAATTCTCTTACTCTGAAGAGGGACCTTAACATTTTGGTATCAGAGCAGTTCTCTGTTCTTGTTGTCGGCATTCCGTGAATCAACGCCAGCAAGAGCTCTTTTTCTTCTGTTTTTTTTTTCTTTCTTTCGATTTCCACAATTCCACCCAGAAAAACACAAAAACAAAAGTTAGTGCCAATGCCTAACAACAAAGAGAGACTCGATGACCTTGAGACGGGTTTCGGGTTGTTGCAACAAAGTCTCGGATCGGTGCAAGAGGAGGTCCAGAAAGGCAATACCCACATCGATGGAAGGCTCAAGAGGATGGAAACATCTTTTACGCGAATGCTTGAAGAGACTGTGAACCAGATGCGAGAACTCATTGCTACCAGCCGAGAGAGTGGCTCTAGTACGGGCCGGGGGTACCGACGGACCGAAGAGCAGCAGTATCCGATGGAGCAAGGGCATGACAATCCATTTTCTATTGCTGCAGCACAGGGTCAAGGCCGTCAAATCAAGTTAGAATTCTTGAGGTTCAGAAGAATGGCTGAACCGAGCCACACAATACTTCGCTTATCACGAGACTCCACGAGACCAGAGGGTCAGCTTTGCTTCATATCACGTGATGGAGGAGGCGAACGCATGGTGGCAGGCCAAACTAAGAGGCCGAGGGTTTGATGTGCGTCGTATGGCTTGGGAGACGTTTGAGGCAGAGTTGTGGACCCGATTCGGGCCAACAGACGAAGAGGACTTTGAGGAAGCGCTCTGTCACATACGGCAAAAGGGGACGCTGCTTGAGTATCAGAGGGAGTTTGAATGGTTTGGGACTTTTCTCTTTGACAGGTGTCGCAGGCCGCGATGTATTCCGAGATGGTCTAGTGCATTGATGGCCAATAGAATTAGCGAGCGAGCCTCTTTGTGGTGCGGAGCACTCCAGAATGACCACCTTGAGGAGTATCACGGTGTTCCTGCAGCAGCTGGTTGATGAGGGGGGGATTGCGGTGGAATGACTACACGGTTGTTATAACATACTAACCCGTCTTTCCAAGCGTACGGCTTGCCTGGATTAGTTGTGGCTGCGGCTCCAATCCGGATCAGATATGGCTCGGTGGTAGCTACCTGTCTCAACTCTTCCCATAATGACGCATATTGAACAGAGATTGAGTTTAATACCGGACTGTCAGGCACGCGTGATAAGGCATCGGCAGCCGCGTTTGCTTTCCCGGGCTTGTATACAATCTCGTAGTCATAACCGACCAACTTGCCCATCCACTTCTGTTGTTCGGGCTTGAGAATCCTCTGCTCCAGTAAATAACGGAGGCTCCGTTGGTCTGTTTGGATGGTGAACCTGCGCCCAAGAATGTATGGCCTCCATGTCCGGATCACCACTATAATTGCCAGCATTTCTCGCATATAGGTTGACAAGCTCCGCTTAGCGACGCCCAGGGACCTGCTCATGAATGCAATTGGTTGATTATTTTGAATTGCCCCAATATCGTCTCCTGAAGCATCGGTCTGGCGGGGTTACTACAGCTTTTACCAATCCCAAACTTGGTATGGGAAGATGTGTCAATGGACTTTGTGGACGGTCTACCACGTTCTAACAAGCATACAACAATCATGGTAGTGGTAGACAGGTTGAGTAAGTCGACGCATCTAATCCCTTTATCCCATCCTTATACTGCGTTGATTATGGCTAAGAAGTTTGTCGAGTGCGTTGTCCGTCTCCACGGTATCCCAAGGTCTATACTCAGCAACCGTGACCCAATCTTTCAAAGCAGTTTTTGGAAGGAACTCTGGAAACTGTCCGGAACGGCGTTGCGAATGTCATCCGCGTACCACCCGCAGACCGACAGCCAAACAGAAGTGGTTGATCACGTTGACCGTCGGCGGAGAGAAAGGTTGGTCGAGAGCTCCTCAAGCTCATTTGACCTAGAATTTCATCCCTGATCATGTTAGAACTTAGAACCCTCACCAAACACGTTATAGAGTTGAAAATGAAGCAAAAGATAGATTTCAATTAAGAAAGTCATATTTGACTATTTGACCAAATCAGAGAAACTTTCTGATTTGTGATGCGTGTTTTATTTTGCCTCAAAGTTTTCCCTTAGAGACTACACAAAATACTGCAAGTGCACAGTTAATCGGTTTTAGTATTTAAGGATCGATCCCACAGAGACTTATAAGTACGGTACGAATTTCAATAGAAAAAGGAATATGTCTAAGACTAACAAAGAGAGGGGTTTGGTTTGGGTTGTCACGGAACTAAACAGAAATTAAAAGCAATGCAAACGATGAAAGATATCAATAAACGAGAAGTTGGGTTTCAGGGATTTCTCAGGGTATCACGGATCGGGTTATTCTAGGGTTTTAAACAAAGGTAAACCTATGCTTATTAAACAGTCCATGAACTACGAAACACTTATATAAAATCGTTTGGCTTATGACTAAACGACTATCTAAGTCTAACAACTCCGTTACTAAACTGACGCATGCAACGACGAGGTTAGACAACATGATTAACGAGTTCGATTTTAGTTCGTAAAACCCTATAACTAAGTGGTGTGTGCTTGTTATAACACGATACTCACATCTAGGCTAGTGAACGCAGATCTATACACTTATGATGCATAAACCTACCTAAGATCAATTGCAAGTTAGCTATTCAAACAATATGCATTAAGAACAAACCTAGAACGAAGAACAAAGATGACCTAAATATAGATCTAAGAAACCCTAGAAAACAGATCCATGAATCCCCTTTGAAAACCCTTATACCCAACAAGAAAACTACTCACACATACTCAAAGAACACAACATCATATGAATAAGAAATTGTATAAAAGAGTATGAGTATAGAAAAAGGGATTAGAAGGCTTCTCTGGAAATCCAGAGTTTAGGATTGTTCTTCCTTAAACAAGTATAGAACAGAGAGGCAAACGGCGGTGAGGGAGCTTCGAAGGCTTCTCTGGTCGTTTCTCTGGAGGCTGCTGGTGATGGAGGTCGAAGACACACCCTATTTAGGGTTTACAACTTGTATTTATAGGCCTCAGGAAGTAACAAGTCGGTTTAGGAGTTTCTCGGCAAAACTACGTAGTTCATTAAGTGCAGGGACGGGGAGGTTTAGTCCGATCACGAGGCTCCATGACTGTTATCCACTAGAGGCTCCAGCCCGGTCACGTTGGGTTGTGACCGGTGCCACCAAGGGCTTCACCACCGGTCGCACGCCTTGCGACCGGTCTCTGACAGGCTGACTTCAATCGGCTTTAACTTCTGTTTGGCAGTTGGGATTGAGTTGATTCTTCCTCCATTGTAATCTTGACTCTTCAAGATTTCCATAGAGTCCAAGATCTCCAAATTTTCTTCAAGGAAAGGCCTCCAACGGACGCCTAACTTCTGGAGCTTCGAATCTGTCTTGAAACGGGTTTTGCTCGTCTTTTGGTCCATTTTGCTTAGAAACTCCTAAAACCTTCTTGAATCCAGAAATACTTGAATCTCTCCTCTTTGGCCTTGAAATCACACCAAACACTTCCTAAAACATCATAAAATATAACAAATATGAGCGAAAATCCCATGTTATCAATTTGCTTCTCCGGTGGTTAATAGAGGATTCTGGCAAGATCCTAATGCTTTCTACAACTTCAGAGGATGGTGATTGTTTTAGAAATAAGAGGAGATGAAGAGTGTGAAGCAACGTGAAGGAGAAAGTTAGGTACTACAATTGAGCTTATGTGAGAGTTGTATAAGTTCATTGTTTAAAGCTAATGGGAAAATCAGTTTTATAAGTACTATAAACCATTGGTTTACCAAAAACTAAAAATCATTTAAAAACCCACAACCATTTGAACCGATATTTTTTTTTTTTTTTTTTTTGTCGTCAACTTATCTTGTCATTATATTGAAACTTAAGTTACATCCGACCATGATATTACAAAGCTTAACTGCCTAATTTTTGCATCTTTAGCTAGTTTATCAGCAATAGAATTAAGCTCACGAGGAATTTTGACAAAACGTACATGAGCATATTTCACAGCAAGAGCCCTAATATCCTCCACGTGGGTTGACAAAGCCGAATGTTCTCGTCCTTGATGAGGATGGTGAAACATAGATTGTTGAAGTCGAGTAAACAAATTAAGCGCATCACCACATAACGTAACATTCCGATACCCCAGTCTATTGATATGTATCATGGCCAACCTTAGCGCCTCAGCTTCAGTTTCCAGCGATGTAGCCATGGGATTAATTGCAGCCATTCCTTTGAGAATAAACTGGGCATGTTTATTGTAAAGTACAAACATAATCTTGCTCTTTATTCCTGAGATCAGTGAAAACATTCCTTATATGTAATGGATTCTGAGGAGTGTTCCTATCTCGGGTTGTATCCTCCACTGGTATTGATTAACTGTGAGGCTGTCTTTCCATTGTTGGTAATCTAACAGAGCTTTATTTATCGTATCTGGAATGGACCATTGCTTGTTATTGAAATATAGATCATTTCTCACTTTCCAGATACGCCAACCAAGGAAAGGGAATAAACTTACATCCTCTCTTTGGTTTTTACAGTTGCTCTGTAGTGATTCAAGGTTTTGACTGAAAGAGTTCTGAATTATGAATTTACCTATAGCTGATTGGTTTAGGGCGTGTTCCCAAATCTCTCTGCTGACTCTACATTGGAACAAGAGATGATTAACGGTCTCTACATTTTCTCCACATCTCTGACATGTATCATCAGCATTCATCCTCTTTTTTCGCAAGTTATCTACAGTTGGCAAGGAATTATGAAGGGATCACCACCAAAAATGCTTAATTTTTTGGGGAACATTCATCTTCCATATGTTGGAAAACAGAGTTTGGGATGAAACATCAGAAAAAGGAGATGAGTAACTCAAGGTGTCTGAAGATAACTTACGACGGAGCTGGTACCCTGATTTGACTGCATACTGACCATCTTTGGTGTAAATCCAATTTATTATATCTTTTGCACCTTAACAGAAGGCCTAATATTTTTTATAAATTGGATATCTTCCTGGTCAATAAGCTTTTCAATTAGATCTTGTTTTCAAGTACCTTGGTGTAATAAGTCAGCTACTTTCATATGATAATACTAGATCATATGTTTTTGTCATAATTTGAGCACAATTTGAGCATATTTCAAGCAAATTTTGACCATATTTTCATATATTAAATCTGTCACAAAATATCATGGATTAGTAATAATTATTTCATAGCGATTTGAAAAAAAATTACAAGTGTAATCATATTATTCTTTGCAATATACTTACAGTTTGTTGTGATCGTAGATACGTGGAGGAAAAGCAAGATCAGGATCATCATACTTGAACTCATCTTCAAAGAATATATACTACAAGAAAACCTGCGTTTTGCAACTAACATTTGCGACCAAAATATTAGTCGCAAATTGTGTGACTATTCTGTGACTAATTTACAACTATTTACCGACGAATTAAAACACGGATGGAATATAGTCGCTATTCGGCGACTAAAACAAATAGTCGGTATTTAGTCGTTCATTAACGACGGTTTTGCGCCCTATTACAGACTAATTTGTTTTAGTCGCAAATGAGTCGCAGAGGTGCGACTGATGTGCAACTCGGTATTTGGTCTGAAACTATTGTCGCAATTTAGTTACGCTTTAGTTGCAAACTAGTTGGAAAAAGTTGGTACAAAACACGTTGAAAATGCAGAGGAGGTAGGTGTACTGAACTTTTGTGACTACATGGAAACGGTCGCAGTTGAAAATGCAGAGGAGGTAGGTGTACTGAACACCTCATTCATTTCATTTCTCCATCCCACTCTCTTCCATCCTCGCAAAATAGTCACAAATTTCTTTTTTGTTGTTGATAGATTGTGAATGGAAAAGGGTGTTATGGAGAATACAGAGACATCAAAGATTAAGTCGTTGAGCAATGGAGAGGTTTTAGTGGAAAAACGAGGAGTGTCAGTTTTGGAGAATGGTGGTGTTTGCAAGCTTGATTGTATGACGACGGGGCTAAAGTTTAAGCGCCGGAAGGTTTTTGCTGTGAAGGATTTCCCACCGGGTTGTGGGACCGGTGTGGAGCGGTTTGGATCGAGAACAATGGAAGATGAAGATGAAGAATTTGAAGATGAATAAGTTTTATTATGAGATATTTTTATTTGTTTAATAAATGTATAAATATGTGTTTTGTAAAATATTCTAGCATGTGTGTTTTATTCAAAACAAAAAAAAAACAATCTAAACATTGTATCAGATTATATATTAATGTTTCTAGCAAATTAACGAATGAGTATACTGGCAATTTGGTAACATACTTCCCATACGTCTAATAGGACAACTGTTCGAATCTACCCAAGTTTTTTTTCATACATTTTAAAAGGGGTCGTAACACAGTCGCGAACTTGCGACCGTTTTGCGACTAAACGTACATTGCTACTCCTATCTTCAACCAATTTTTATTTTAGTCGCTAAATCGTTGGTCTTTTGTGACTAGCACCTGAAGATTTTGCGCCTAATACCTGAGAAAGCGACCGGTTTGCGACTATTTACCAACTCTCGATTTTTGTTTTTACAAATTTCACATTTTAAATTTGTTTAGATATTAAGTTAAACATTTCTACACTAATTTGATGTTACTTAGTAATAAAAACTTAACCAAAGTCATATATATTGATGTTTACAAATAAAACATTCAAAACTACCAAATCTCTTTGTCTTGTTACATTACTCATAAGAGTAATGTTTATGGATTTAGTAAAAAATCTATATTACTAGAGTTTTGCAACGTTTTTCAACCTTAAACTAATATATGTCCTCTATAACACTAATATATGAGTGTTTGTGAGTGATCTATATCACCATTTTAGGGAAAAACGGTCTATTTCTCCCCGAGAACTATCGTATCTGGCCAGATAAAGCCCGATCTTTGACCTCTGTCTATATACCCATGAAACGGAAGTTAAATGTTTATTTCCCCACCAATTGAAAGTTCGAGAGCTTAATGTCCATGAATCCTAAGTTCGAGATTTAAAACCCTATAGCGCTGGGTTTAATTGGTTTACTGTATACCAAACCGATGCTTTAACCAATTAAACCTAATTAGAACCAGCCTAAACCCAAATTACAACCCGTTTATGACCCATTACCCAAAAAACAAATCGAAACCAAAAATTGAAACCAAAAATCAAAAATCCCCAAATTGCTCTCGACGAACCCTAGAATCCCCAAATCACTTTTCCCCGAATTTGATCGATGTCGTTAGTCCTTCACGACCCTGATCTTGTTGGTAATGGTCCGAGAGTGTATGTACCTGAGCCACCAGAAGGAGAAGAAGACAAGAAGATGACAAAGGCTGAGAAGAAAAGGAAAAAGGGTGTGAATGACGAGTCCCCCGCGAGACACAGCCTTATCTTCCGTGGTCTAATCCCGGTGCTCTACGCTGGATCCGCAAGAGCCTCACACGATGAATCAACAGAGGAGGCTATTGAGTTTGCTACTCAGTACGGGAAAGAGAAAGAGCTGTGCAAGACTGGAGACTCCGTTGTTTCTCTACTCCGAGTCGGTAATGCTTCCGTGATCAAGATCTTAACCGTCAAGCGATGATTCCAATCAAAAATCACGTTTTTGGCGTTTGGGGAACGCTACTTTAAACGTTTTATTATGAAACTATTCAAGATTGTGATTAAAATCTTGAGATAGAAAACTCAAGTTCTATTTTTTGCTTATTACCATAACTATTGTGACCGGTGAATCCACTTAACAGCTCCTTTTGGGATATTTTGGTTGTATGGAAACTATTGGATCATACATAAACGTATCAATTATCATGATTTCTTTTTGTTTCCAAGTATTTCTTATGTATACGCCATATATAAATAGTGAAAAATATGTTCTTGCTCTTAAAAATGACAGGACATGAAGAGAAAAAGAAGACAGCACATGAATGATAGGTTGCTCATTCTAAACTGGAAATCGGGTTTTCAATTCGAAAATTGAGAGTTCAGCTTTTTAGTGTTCTTAATTTGAATTTGGGGATTTTGGGATTTTGATTTTTGGGATGACAACGACAATGGGTCGGGTTTTAATAAGGAATCGGTTTTTTTTTTTGGTTAAGTTACGACCGAAACATGGTTCCGTCTCGGGTTTACGCACTAAACCGACGAAACCAGGATATATGGACATTAAGCTCTCGAACTTTCAATTGGTGGCGAAATAAACAATTAACTTCCGTTTCATGGGTATATAGACAGAGGTCAAAGATCGGGCTTTATCTGGCCAGATACAATAGTTCTCGGGGGGGGGGGGAATAGACCGTTTTTCCCCATTTTAGATCACAATGTGTAGATTTCTAAATTTTGTCTTGTGACTAATATATCACAGTCACAAACCCGTCGCAAAAGTGCCACAATTTTGTAACCATTATTCATTTAGCGACTATTTTGCGACAAATATTGTAACTATTGGCCGACCAATTTTGCGACTATTTGTGAAATTTCTAAGATTTTTACTAAGTGTTTGGTCAGTTTCGATTCCCCCCCCCCCCCCACTTTTTTTGCTTGTCACCATTTGCAACTAAATAGCGACCGGTACTCTTAATTAATTAGGTTAACCCTTAAACGATTCCTCATTATCTCGCAAAAACAAAATCGATCTAGGGTTTTGTATCTCAGACTCTCTCAATCGATTTCTTCCGATTTCTTCTCACAAACACCTCAAATCTTCGATTTCTCTCAAACAAAAATCTCTCTCAATCGATTTCTCGATTCAAACTTCTCAAATCGGGTTTGATTTTTTCCGATTCTCTCTCAAATCTCTTCAATTCTCTCTCAAATCTTCTAATCTCAAACACAAATCTTGTCTTTCGTTTTCTTAGGCTTCGAATCGACTCTAAATGCTCTCAAATCTCTTCCTAAATCTCTCTCAAATCTGAGTCCCAATCTCTTCTTATGCCGCCTAAAGGTAAATCGTCAAGAGGCCGCGGAGGGGGCTAGAAAACCAGAGCAGTAGCCGCTGGAGGGGGCCAGAACACCAGAGCAGTAGCCGCTGGAGGGGGCGAGACCAGCAGACTAGTAGCCGCTGGAGGGGGCGAGACCAGCAGACCAGTAGCCTCTCGAGTCCGAACATATGTTGGTCAGAGACCACCAGTCACTACGAGTGGGGTCGGAGCATCTTCTCACTCATCAAACCCATCGGCGACACAGTCTGCGACCCATTCCCATGCGACTCGTCCTTTACAGTATCATAGTAGACATACTCCTCCTCTCAGTCAACAGACTCCTCCTCCTCAACCGCAGCATCAGCCACAGCCACCGTCTCCTCCCCAACCTCTACCGGAACATGATGTGAATCACGAAGTGATACCTTAACAACAAAACCAAGACCTTGGAGAGGAAGAGGACGATAAAGTAGGAAACCAAGATCACGAAGAGAACCCTAATCCAAATGAAGACTACCAAGAAATGCTGGATCGTTTGCTAGCCCTTCTTATGTGTAAAGACCCAATCCCAGACGTTGAAACATTGTGGTATATATTCTGTGTCCCTCAGTCTAGTAGAATAAGTCTGAGAATTATTTTTGCATTTGTCTGAGAATTATTTTTTGCATTGTTCTGAGAATTGTTTTGGATTGTCTGAGAATTGTTTCGAATTGATTGAGAATTGTTTCGAATTGTTTGAGAATTATTTTTGCATTTGTCTGAGAATTGATTTGGAATAAGTCTGAGAATTGTTTTGGAATAAGTATGAGAATTGTTTTGAATTGTTTTTTGCATTGTTCTGAGAATTGTTTTGGAATAAGTCTGTGAATTGTTTTTTATTTGTCTGAGTATTGTTTTGAATTGTTTTTGAATAGGTCTGAGAATTGTTTTGATGAATTCTGTTGCAAGATTTTCTTGATCATCTTAAGAGGTCTCCTTAGTTGGTTTACATAAAAGTTCATAAGTTGAAAACTTGGATTGATTTAATAATGGATTGAACTACAATCCATGTGTCTATATGCTTATATGTACATCTTGCTGCTTAGTTCTAAAAGGACAGTAAAGCCTCATACGTTTATCTTCTGTACTTGCAATCTGTTGAGTATAATAGAGTCTTGTTTATTTAACTAATCTGTTGAGTATATTAGAGTTGCCCTAAGCTTTTTGCTTTATCTACTAATAGCCTGTTATTGTAACAGGTTTAACCGGCACAAAGGGAGGCTGTCCTGAGCGATTTCCACAATCTTTAGGAGGAAGTTTGATGGGCGTTATTACAGCTGGAAGGTTACTCCAATAGACAAACGAGAGAGATATTTCAGGACTTTTGCGGTAATGACATATATATATAGCTTTCATTCTCTCTTGTTGTAGTATATTTGACATTAGTCTGTTATAACTAACTTACTGTTTTGTGTTATGTAGTGGGAGTTTAATTGGGATATTGGAATTACTGCCATGTTTAGAGAAGGAATCTTGGTTATAGCCAAGAAACGGATGAAAGGGATTGTCAGTCAAGTGAAGAAGACTGGTGTACAACCAACTTGGATTCGTAACACACTTTGGGCTGAGATGCAACACTTTTGGAAAACCACTGATGCTATAGAGAGGAGTGAGAATGCTTCACAATGCAGAAATTCTGATCGTGGCGGACTTGGAGTGCACAAACACTTAGTCGGTCAGAAATCTTTATCCAAGTTCATCAAGAGATGGTAAGATGTTTCTTTCCATCCAAACACTTTACTTTTACAGAATTTCTAATATTTCTACACTTGATAATCTATTTGTCTTTCATTTTAGGAGGAAGAGTTGGGGCGTCCAGTTTCACTTGGCGAAGTATTTATGAGAACGCATACTAGAGCTGATGGATCTTTTGTGGATTAAAAGTCTGAACAAGTTGTTGAGTTGTATAAGAAGACAATTGAAGAGAGATTGGCTGAACTGGAAGAGGAGGGTCAGGATACTACAGAGATTTCCTCTGAACATTCAACGCATCCTAGAGAACTCAACATTGATGAAATGAATGATATCTTCCTTAAGGTAATTTATTTATGTCTTTAGTTTACTGAATGTTTGTTTTTTGTTTCTGTGTACTCATACAGATGACCAAGGCAACCCTTATGGCCTTGGATCTCTTGTGGAGACCCTACACAAAGGAAAAAGGAAGGAGAGTTATGCGAGCTCTTCTTCTACAGTTACAGTTGTTGAGCTTCAAGAACAGCTACGGCGCAAGATCTCTGATCAGGATGCTGAAAATGCAAGACGTGATGCGGAGCACCGCACGTCTCAAGCTCGGATCGCCAGCTTGGAGAAGCTCATCCTCTTTATGAAAGAAAAGGATCCTGACTTGGTAGCTTTCATGTCTTCTTCTCCACTCCTGCAACCAGCAGTCTTCATACCACCCATCACACAAACAGACACACTTCGCACCTGAAACCACACTAGCCTCTCCTTTATCTAACACTGCTTCAAACCAATGAACTAGACTTTTATTTGCTTATGTTTTTGTACTCTTTAATACTTTTTTAGGATGGTTTTTAGTATGGTTTTTGAATGATGGATTATTAGCATTTGAAATCGAAATTGCAGGTTTCGGATTATTAGCATTTGAAATCGAATTTGCAGGTTTGGGATTATTAACATGTAACCAATCTGTGACCAAACCAATTAACAAATGTGACCAATGTGTGACTAAACATTATTACAAGAAACTCCAAACCTGGTATCAAAATGGTTACTAATAGAAGACTCTTTTGCTACACAACAATGAGAGTCTTAAATTGGTCGCAAATTATTAAGACTCTTTTGCGAATAAATTGGTACTAAAAGATATATTGTCTGCGACTAATGTGGGACTAAGTATTCGATCCAAGAACTCTTTCGTTTGAACCGAACAAGTCGTAAACTAGTCGCTAACTTACGTTTGTCGCTCTTTAGTCGGAAATTTACAACGATATTTACCCGTCACAAATTAGTCGGTAATCTACGACGCTATATTTTATGTTGGAAAAGAGTCGCAAATTAGCGACTATCTTGGGACTGGAAAATTTTGCGACCATTTTTTTTTTGCGACTATCTGAGTTAGTCGTGAATGCGTCGCAAAACCCTATTTTGCGACCATTTTGCAACCAATATGGAGGTCGCAAATGACGTGTTTTCTTGTAGATCTTACCCTGCTTCTATTGGTCTTCCTCGGTTTCTAATGGCTCAAAGTGATGAAACCTTTCAATTTTGGTTTATGTCATTATGTGTAACTACACATCTATAATTTATTAAATTACCATTGAAGAAAACATAAATAAGGGTCTACTATAGACTTTCTGCAAAATCATATCATCTTAAAGTGTTTTAGTTTCTATGGGTTAAAATGCATTTATTGAGATTGTTATTATTATTAGATTATTTGTTTGTTATTTTTTCCTATATTCTTATGTTTTGCTAAAAAAATTCTTAGGTTTTGCTAATTAATGGTCAACTTTTTAAAAATATATCAATAATTATTACATTACTATCTTTTATATTTATACCACTTTAGAGTTATGGGGACGTACGAATGCTTCATATGTTTCTTCACGCTCTCTGTTTCACTTTATTTCAAAGATGCATCTTCATCAGATTACTCTCTATCAATACCTCACTTTCTCTAGAGGACACCATTGTTTCTTGGGGTAACGTGTTTGAACTGGTATCTATAAACAAAGTTATCTTCCCTACATTGTCATATGGTATAAAAATTACCTTTAAACTATAGTTTGGTTAGCTAATAAAGTATCTCGTTTTGAAGATAGTATAAATTCTTTGTTCGTTATAAAAATATCAAACGGAAGTTTAATTTTCTATGATAATTACACGGACCAGACAATCTAGTCCATTAGCCTTCCTTCTAATAGAAGCAGAAGAGGTAGCCGCAAAGTTCAAGCAATTCTTCTCTACAATGGCAACCTTATACTAAGAGATTCATTTAACATCATATTGTGGGAGAGATTCGACCACCCTTTAAACAGCTGGCTCCCGACGCTAAGATATGGTTGAACACACAATTTACTAGTTGGAAAAGCCGATCCATGAGCGAGTCTGGCTCCTGACTCTAAGATATGGTTGAACACACAATTTACTAGTTGGAAAAGCCGATCCATGAGCGAGTCAATATACTTTCAATATTGACCCTAGCAAAAGAAATTCAATCCTCATGGTTTGGAATGATTCTTTGGACGATTACGAGTTGATATACTCTCAATATTGACCCTAGCACAAGAAATTCCCTCCTCATGGTTTCATTCTAAACATGCGGTTTCTTCATTGCATGTAAACGCTGCATATTCCTATCCAAAGGAGAAATTTTGTAAGTGACAAACTAATCTTTTTCCTTATAAAAACATATGAACTTCAATCTAAAGTTTTTTTTTAATAAAACCCCAAGGATAGAAGGTTTTTTTTTTTTTTGTAATTCCACTCATCAATAAAAATTCTAATGCTAGATTCCATACTAATAGTTTCATGTTTATAGGATTTAATAAAAAAAATTTGTTTTGATTATAATTTTTTGTTATATATTTTAATTTATTTAAGTATGAGTGATAGGTTTCATTCTAATTTTCTACCAACTAAATATTATTTTCATTAAACATATGATTTCATATTTTTTTAATCTTAAGGACCAAATTTGTTTAACAAAGTTCTTTTTAAAAAAAAACACTTAAACCTCAAATTTTAAATAACATAAATATTATAATAATCTTAATATAATTATTTATTGGATCACAAAAATTAAATATAATGATACCTATATAAAAATGAATTAAAAAAATTTATTTGAGATAAGAAAGAGGTAAGAAAAAATTATTTTATTAATGTATTAAAATCATTTATTTCATTATATATTGCATAACTAAAAAAATACATAAATATGTTAGAAAATAATCAAATATCCAAGGTAAATAATGGAGATGGATCTTTTCAACTTCATTCCCTTGTTGTACGATGATAAGAATTGATATTTTTAATTTTCCATTACCAATAAACCTAAAAGTTTTGTTATAGCCATCAAAACTTTTATTTTACACATGTTAATTTAAAACTGAAAATATAAAAATTAAAGAAGAAATAGGTATAATCTAGTATGGTGTTTAGGGGTGTCAAAATGGGTCAAGATTCATGGGTCAACCCAACTCAACTCAACCCATGAACCCTAATGAGTTGAAAATTTTGACTCAAATGAGTTGATGGATAAAATAAGTTATTGAGTCAAATGGGTTGATGGATCAAATGAGTTGGGTTGTAATGGGTCAATGGTTTAAATGGTTTACCTATTTAACCTATCAATTTTTGTTAAATTAAATCAAACCAATTCAAATCTCTAAACCGATTTCAATTTGAGTCTAACCAAAAATTCTAAACCGATTGAATATAGTCTTTAATTTTCCCGCCAAAAATGTGAATACACAATTTTCCCATCAAAATATAATTCGTGATTTTCCCGCCAAAAAAAGTAAATCCGTAGTTTTCCCGCCAAAAACGTAAATCCGTGATTTTCCCGCCAAAATTTTTTATAATTTTTAACCAAAAACGAAAATATGTAATTTTCCCACCAAAAAAGTAAATCCGTGATTTTCCCGCCAAAAACGTAAATCCGTGATTTTCCCGCCAAAATTTTTTATAATTTTTAACCAAAAATGAGAATGTAAAATTTTCCCGCCAAAAACGTAAATCCGTAATTTTCCCGCCAAAAACGTAAATCTGTGATTTTCCCGCCAAACAATAGTGATGTTGATGATGAATTGATGATGATGATGATGATTATTATTATTATTATTATTATTATTATTATTATTATTATTATTATTATTATTATTATTATTATTATTATTATTATTATTATTATTATTATTATTATTATTATTATTATTATTATTATATTTTAATTATTAATTTATTTATTACATTAATAGGTTAATGGGTCAACCCATTTAACCTTCAAACCCATTTGGCTAAATGAGTTGAGTCAACCCATGAACTCATTTAACTCTAAACTCATTGGGTAATGAGTTGAGTTGAGTTGGGTTAACCATTTTGACACCCCTAATGGTGTTAGGAACAAAAAAAACATGATAAAAAAATTAGAATTAAATTTTTACAATGATGTTTTCATTGATTTCAACCCATATAACAAAAAAAATAGATACATGAATATAGTAGAAGGGGATGAGAGAATGATTACTTATAAGATGATAATAAAAAATATACAATGGAGATGAATCTTAAAAAAAAAAAAAAAACTAATGTAGAAATTAAAATTTAGAATTATGCTTTTACAATGATATTTAATTTGATTTTTTTAACCCATACAACAACCACCACAACAACAAAAAAAAACACAAATCAATATTAAAAAAAAATTGAGATATAGTGGAAGAGAATGAGAGAATAAGAGAATGAGAGAATGAGAAAATTAGTAGTTATAGGATGAGAAGTGATAGAATTACAATTCTAATTGATTGTGTGTTGAATAAAATTGAGTGGAGAATATAGTTAATGTATAATTTATATGATTTCAGTTTTATATTAAAGTGTGAGTTAAATGTAGAGAAATTGTTAAAAATGCTCATTTTCAATACCCTTTTTCAAAAATGCCCTGTTTTAGAGTCCATTATTAAGTTTGCCATCTTTTAATTTTTAATGACCATTTTACCCTTATTTGAAACAAAATTAGGTCCACAAAATACAAAATATTTTTTGGCGGGAAAAGTGATCCCGCAAATTTTTGGCGGAAAACGTGATCGGGCAATTTTCCCGCAAAATTTTTTTTTTCGGGAAAAGTGATTCCGCAATTTTTTTGGCGGGAAAAATTTACAAGGTATTTTAAAGGTTTTACAGAGTATTTACAAGTGTTTTGTAAGGTTTTACAATGTATTTTAAAAGGTTTTACAAGGTACTTATAAGGTTTTATAATGTATTTATAACTTGTAAAACCTTATAAAAAAAATTGTAAAACCTTATAAAATAGCTTGAAAAATCTTATAATATCTTATAAATACCTTATAAATACGTTGTAAAACCTTTTAAAATACATTGTAAAACCTTATAAATACCCTGTAAAAAATCTTTAAAATACCTTGTAATTTTCCCGCCAAAAATTTTCCGCCAAAAAAAATTGCGGAATCACTTTTCCCGCAAAAAAAAATTTTTGGCAGGAAAAATTTTTACGGGAAAATTTTACAAGTTATTTTAAAGGTTTTACAAGTTTTTACAAAATCAAATTTGTAATTTTGATGTGTATACATTCTCATGTTTTCCTTATATATTTGTGATATCTTTTATTAAAAGAAGGGTAATTTAGTCATTTTGTACATAAAAAGGGGTATTTTAAAAAATAGACAGCCAAAAGGGTCATTTTAAAGGAGTATTGAAAAAGAGGCATTTTTGTGAGTCTCCCTTAAATGTATATGATTAAATATGTTTTATTGGTGGTTTAATTGAAAACAATTTTTAAAAAAATTATATTGTCAAGTGGACCAATAAAGAGATAGAGTGAAACCTTATTTTTATATATGATTTTAGAATAAAAAATTGTGGTAAGACAAAAAGGGAAAAAATTCCAAAAATATCCTATCTTTTTTTTGGACGTTT